GGGGGGGGGGGGGGGTTAAGGAGGATACGCCTTCCCAGGCAATTGAGTAGGTAGGTAAAAGCTCACTTGCGGAGAACTATCGAAAGAGACAAATGGAGTCAAGGACGTAATACAGGCAACTGAATTGAATTGAATTGAGCCACTTCCAATCTAGCTCTATACCGAGTTTCTTTCTTTTTTTTTCTTTTTCCCCTCGACTCCAATGGGTGTTTTGAATGATATGATGGATGCTGTGTGATAACTTCTCACTTCACCTCCAAGTCACTGAGCCACCGAGTCACTAACTGAGAATTTTCAAAAACCACACCGGGCAGCAAGCAAGCATATTCCCCAACAAGCTCAGTCGATACCTATCATACTTGCTCACCAGACCTACGAAGTCGAACGGCGCCGACTAGCTCTATATACTGGTACGAGTAAACGGGGCATACATCATATATCCATCCATATACCCACCCATATCTCAACAACAGGTACACGCCTGATAATACAGAAAGTTACAAATAAAACCGTACAGGCTTCAGAACAGAGAGCAAACAGTAAGAACAGAAATACCTCCTCCCTCCCTCCCTCCCAAAGAAGGCTGGAGACGAGGGTTCTTCTCTTTTGTGTTACCCAAAGTCATGTATGTTTGCTTCTTCCACATTCCCTTGACATACATATATACTGCGTATATATTGAAGAGCGGCAGGACCTGGACTGGACGTGCCGGGATACGCATAACCAGGGGGGAAAAGGGTGAGGATGGGGGATGGCGTTGCCACGTGGATAGCACATGGAAGCGGAAGCGGGAGGGAGGGATGGAACATGGGAATCATGGGAAGCATAGGAAGCGGGAGCGGGAGGGGGGAGGGGGGATCATTCAGGCAGGCAGGCAGGGCTAACTTGCTTGGATACGGGCTGGGATTTTTTTTACAAGGATTAAAAGGAGCTTTGTGGCTTTGTGGCTTTGTGGGCAAGGTAAAAGGGGTAGACGGACGGACGGACGGACGGGCGACACGGGATGGTGTGTAAGTATGTGGATGGGGATGTGTGTAGGAATGTCGTAGGAATGTTGTGGGAGTATTGGACATGTGGAAATTGGGGGGTTTGGTGCGCGGGATGTGCGAGAGTTCCTCATCTAGGTAGGTACTCTTTCTTTTTGGTTGAGTTCTCTCTGACCTTCCATGATTGTACGATAAATAGGCTTTTAACCTTTCATCTATCTCGGGTCCTCCGCTCCTTTTATGGCCTTCTGCACCAGCACCTTGCTCTCATTCCCTCGTACTCCGAGCAACGAGTAGCTGGTAGTGATCAACGCGAACAATACTTACGATTCAGTCATCCTCGTTTGCTTGCTGAAATACGAAGTCTCTGCATACTTCTTCTCCCCTCAGCCAGCCTAGGTCAATCCTGCCCGTCGAGATATCCCCAAGATATATTTCGAACCCGGGCCATCATACCACGCCAAACCCAGGGCGCTCACTCGGAAGAATATCCAGTGCCCATCCTTCCATCCTTCCATCCTTCTTCATCTGCTCTTTCACCCCTCCTTCCTCCCTTCCAACTGTACCTCCTAGTTCCCAGTCCCAGGACCAGAACCACTCCTCCTCGAACTCAGTCTCAAACCACCAAGACTCAAACATCACCATATCACCGGCACTGGCATCACTGCCCACTGCCCATCGTCCACCGTCCAACAACAAACAAATACAAATCCCCACCATCTCAGAGGAGCTCCCTCAGCAACATCAATCCAAATGGACCCCATCACCACCACCAAACCCATCACGAAACCTCTCAACGCAGAGTATTCCAAACCGGACCACCCCTTCCCTCGTGCTTCTACCCAGCCAATGGAAACTACTTCCACTTCCGCTCCCGCTCCCGCTCCCGCTGCTGCTGCTTCAGAGACAAAAACGGACATGAACAAACCTCAGTCCAAAAGACTTCTTCCACTCGGCAAGACGACATCCGACAACGAAAAAAGCAAGGAGAATAATAATAACAATAACAATACAGAAGCGTATAATGCCTTTTGGGGGAAGTTGATTGGGATCGCACCCGACGACGACAAAAGGAAGGAGAATGATAAGAATGATAATAATAATGATAAAAATAATGAAAATGATGATGAGAATAATACAGAGGCGTATAATGCCTTTTGGGGCAAGTTGATTGGGGTTGTGCCGCCGAAGGATGGTGGTGATTAGGTAGGGGATGGGGACGGAAAGGGTATAGAAAGGGGAAGGGGAAGGGGAAGGGGAAGGGGAAATGCGGAGAGGGGACACAGGGGAGAGAGTGTGTGTGAGAATTTGTAGATGTAGTAGGGTGTCCAGGTAGGGCAGGGCAGGATAGGTATGGCAGGTCATTTCAGGTCAGAGCAGGTCAGGACATGGACATGAACATGGACCTAGTCTTTGATTACCTACACAACATGAAAGCGGCTACTGGACGCTGGACGTTGGACTGTTCAGAGGTGAAGAAGATACCTACTTGGGTAGCGACTGGTGATAAGATTTGGAATATACCTAGACAATACGGCTGCCTGCCTGCCTGTTTGCCTGCTTGATGAATAACAATCAACAAATCTCTTTTCATGTTCAGCAAAGGAAGAGGAGAATAAAATTGAGGTGAGGCATAAGGATGGGAACATGAATATCATAGAAGACAACATAAGAGAAAAAGAAGAGAAGAGAAGAGGAGGAGAGGCGGGGAAGTTTGATTTGCGTACAGCAAGCAGTCTACTGTGTAGGGACAGGTAGAGATGCATTATGGACGGTTCTCTTATGACGGTTCTCTTGATAGTCATTAGGGGATCGACATCAATGATTTTTTTCTTTTCCCAAAAGATTGGGCGTGTTCTTCCACACTCATGCATAATTTGCTTCTTCTTTTGTAACCGAAGATAACCTAAACTATTTCACAACTTCAACAAATAATAAAAAAAAAAAGATAACCCGATGGATATGCATAGCCTGAGAAGGAAGACAAGACAAGACAGTTTTGTTTGGTAGGTGGGGATGCGAACACAAACGACAAAAAGAAATTTCAAAAAAAGATGGTCTCTCCCGCCGGGAATTGAACCCGGGTCTCGAGCGAATCGAACTGTGATGTTCAAGCTTGACAAGCTCACATACTGACCACTATACTACGGAAGATGTACAACTGTTGGATCAGCTGTCGTAGTTGGTTGGAGACTGAAGTTTGATGGTGTATTTATGTACCTGTTGTACAATGCTGCCAAAAAATAGCCGCACACACCAATAGCATTTCCGGTCGAACAATACGACATTGTTAACCATTGCTTGTATAGTTTAACGGACCCTAGAAAAGGTGTGATTGAGTTACCAGATATTCATTTTCACTATCTTGATGTGTATCTTGCACTTGTGCATTGCTTTTGACAAAGTTCACGAAATATGTATGCGCGCTAGGACGAACTTCATCTGACATCGATGGGGCAACAAATCCTGGAGTGATATGCTACAAGATCTTATTACGTGCCATATCTCTAAATTTACACTCTCAGAATCAGTCGCGTTGCTTATGTTCACCGCTCTAAGCCCATTACAAAAAGTTGGATATCATGCAATCAAATAGAAAAAACCCCTCCCATTTTCACCCGCCTCTTTCCCTTCCCGTCAACCTTTCTTCCTGACCACCCTCTAGCCCTCATCCTCTCGCATCCATCCCCTCTCACCCCCTGTCATATCTCTCCCTCACTTCCAGTAAAATCACACCTGATCATCTACCCCCATCCCCTCACTAACTCTTCTCATTCCCACCAGCAGGCAACGTACTCGGCTCATTCTCATTCGTCACCCCACTATACGCCGGCCTGGGCATCCCATCGGGAATCACTGGCCCACTCATAATCTCCGCCATTGCCTCGTCGTAGCTCGGCGGCGCGTCGTCATACGGCGGCTCCATCTCTCCTGGCGCCAGTTGCGGTGGGTACAAGGGGTCTGCAGGCGGCGGCACCACCACTCCCGCAGCCGTCCCTGCAGCAGTGGATGGCTGGGCGGTGTTGGTTCGTGGGGGGAGAGCTGGCGGCTGTTGCTGTGGCGCTGTTGAAGGACCGGTTCCGGCGGAGGAGGAGGAGGTGGTGGGACGCGCTGGTTGCGATGGTGGACGCTGAGACTGAGTACGTTTGTTCTTGCCTTGCTTCATGGCCTCGATGAGGGCGGCGGGCGGGGCGATGCCGGAGTAGACTTCTACGGAAGAAAAGTGCAGTGGGAGGTGGATTTCTTGGGCGAGATCGGTGCCTTCGTTCTTGTTGCGGCCGAAAATGGAAGAGGCGGTGGTGGCGTGAGAGATAGAGGCGACGGGTTTGCCCCAGGAGAGACCGAGTTTGACTTCGAGTTGGTATTCACGGCTGTGTGAGGAAGGCTGGAGTCAGTAGCGTTCTGGAGGAATGCTCCGAAGGAAAGGGGAAATTACCTGAGGTTACATGTGACAAAGCTCGGCATAACGGTGTTTGGTAAAGGTTGGTTGCACCAGATGTCGTTGGGCAGGACAACTTCTGTCCCTGCAGGGTCTCCTAGTCTCGAAACGGGAATGCTGAGTCCCTGTCGTGATACAATCACCCAGCGACTAGTCTCTGTGTTGATCAGGTCGTGACATCTGACCTCGGTCTGGCCAATCAGGTCGATCTGGATGGCTGTTAGGAAGATCTCTGCGTCCGATCCCGCAAGCTTCTTTGCAATGAGACGAAGTGGAATCGGTTGGTTGCAAGTGATGATGGCAGGGTGAGGAAGTCGAGCGGACATCTCTATCGACGGAGGGACTTCGGGCTCTGTTGCAAGCTTCCCATCAGCCGTTGTTGTTGGGGCTGAAGATGACCCTGCGTTGCTACTCCCAGTCCACCCGCTGAAGAAAGAAGCCCGTTTCTTGGAAGACGCGTTTGTTCTTGGGCTTCGTGGACGGAATGCAAAGGGTCGTCTGGCATAGGCTTCATGGTTCGTCTTGGGCGGCCTTGGAGGCTCGATGGGAAGAAATTTCAAGCCGGTCTGCATCCTCCAGTTCTCCTTGAAAAAGCCCGGTCTTTGAATGGTAACCTTGACATAGTATCGGATCTCGCACTGGCCTGGGAATCCGGTGAAGCTGGGTGGGAGCGTCTTTGTGACATGGGAGTACATCAGCTGCTTGGTGCCGTCCATAACACGAATGCCACCGAGACCGAACAAGCCAGAACCCGATGCTATTCCACCGGCACCGGAAAGGCCTCCTAGTTTGGCCATGGCGACAGGATCACCGCAAGCATTGTTAAAGGGAAACTTGAACTGGAAGGGGAATCTGTGTTGGCCGGCGGCTAGGACATAGGGCTGTGGCAAGGCGTTGGTCTTTTCGTCGGGGAAGGCCTGGGTGACTTTGTATAGGATCTTGTGGTTCTCGTAGATAACATCGCCGGTTGGAGTGCGCTCCCTCTGAGCGATGCCAGTCCCTGAGCCATCGGCGGGTACTCCCAAGGCCGACTTGGCTTCACCCTCGAGTTTGACGATGATACCTCCGATCTGTTCGGGACGACTGAGAGTGAGGACGACCTGGCCGCGGATAATGTCCAGGTTCGTGTAGAACTCGGGAGGGTTTTCGAGGGCGATCCGTATCGACATGGTTGCGATTAATTATCGTTAACTCCAACAGAGAAATGAGGCTATCACCACATGAACCAAAACAACAAGGAAGAACTGGTGGGTCACACGCCCGGGTATAAGCCAAGGAGAAGATGATGGAAAAGAATCTCTTATTTTTTTTAATATTCGATTTCCTCGAAGCTTGGGAGGGGGTTGGTATTATAGGTAGGTAGATGAAAATTCAAAGCCACTGCCTGTCTGCTTCATTCGATGTGATTAACTTCACACGGCAGTTAGGTGATGACGGGGAAGACCCTCACTGAAAGACCGGAGGATTTGCCGTTTAAGTGCTGGGTAGCAATTTGAACCCGCCGCACATGTTTAGGGCGGCCTCCGCTGTTACGTCAGACGGGGAATCATCGGTCGGAAGTGGCCGAGGTGCCTGGATTCCACTGATGTTTCCAGTGGGCTGGGCCGCCGCCGCCGCCCGCATGGTGTCTCAATGGGGAAAGCGGTCAGCGTTTTGCTTATCTTATCAGCCACATGTCTGGCGGGGCATCTTTTTTTCTGCCGCCTGGTCCACTCAAAAAAAGATGTCGGCCGGGGTTCGGCGCAGGCACAAGCTCTCTTCAGCCTGCGGTACCTCCGTCCGTCTCACAGTACATACGTACAGCCATTGCGCGACTGCCGTGACTTGAGAACGAACCGAGTCTCGACCCGGACAGAGATTGACCGAAACGACGAAACCCCCCATCGATCCCAACCTTCTCGTCCGACCTCGATTCCGAGTCGTCTTCCTCCACACACCTACCCACAACAGCATTGACTAGACTACACCATGCCCAAGGCAGCGAAGGCGTCCAAGAAGTCGGGGGGCGGCAACCCCTACGATCGCAAGGGGGGCGGCGGCGGCGGCAAGGCTACCAACACAAACATCTTCAAGTTCGACAAGGACTTTGGCCAGCATATCCTCAAGAACCCCGGTATCTCGGATGCCATTGTCGACAAGGCCTTCCTCAAGCCCACCGATGTCGTCGTCGAAGTCGGTCCCGGTACCGGTAACATCACGGTCCGCGCCCTCGAAAAGGCAAAGAAGGTGATCGCCATCGAACTCGATCCTCGTATGGGTGCCGAAGTTACCAAGCGTGTCCAGGGCACTCCGCTAGCCAAGAAGCTCGAAGTCATTCTCGGCGATGTCATCAAGATGCCCGAAATGCCTCCATGCGACGCTCTCATCTCCAACACTCCCTACCAGATTTCCAGTCCTCTCATCTTCAAGATGTTGGCCATGCCCAACCCACCCCGCGTCGCCGTACTCATGTTCCAAAGAGAATTCGCAAAGAGGCTGGTGGCTCGGCCGGGCGATGCTCTTTACTCGAGATTGAGTGTCAACGTCAACTTCTGGGCCACATGCAAGCACATCATGAAGGTCGGCAAGCAGAATTTCAAGCCTCCCCCCAAGGTCGAGTCCGACGTCGTCCGGATTGAGCCCCTTGTTGGCTCGGCGCGCCCCAACATTGCTTTCGAGGAGTTCGACGGTCTCCTTCGTATTGCTTTCAACCGCAAGAACAAGACCCTTTATGCCGGCTTCAACCAGAAGGAGGTCCTCAACATGTGCGAAAGGGTATGTCTCTTCCCATGTGTTCACAAGGCCCAACTCTTACTGACCACTTCCTTTCCAGAACTACAAAGTCTACTGCACCCTCAACAACATCCCCATCGACGAGTCCCTCGCTTCCGCCGCTGACCTTGCTGCCGCCGGCGCCACCAACGATGCCATGGACGTCGAGATGGACGACGACAATGAAGACAACGATAATGAGGAGAACAACGACGACGACGAGGCTATGGAGGAGGATGAAGATGAGGACATGCCCGTCTTCTTCAAGGAGCAAAACGATGCCAACGCTAAGGACGCCAAGACACCCAGCAAGAACCCCAAGTCCAAGGTGGCCTTGATAGTCAAGGCCAAGTTGAACAAGGTGCTTACGAGCACCGGTTTGGCGGACAAGAGAGCTAGACAATGCGACCAGAACGATTTCCTCAAGCTGTTGCTCGGTAGGTTTTTTCTTTGTTTCACCCGGTTTGCCCTCCTGCTGGACAACCTCGCTAACACCCCTGACAGCTTTCCACGAGGAGGGTATCCACTTCTCTTAGACGTGTGTTATTATTGCGAACAAGCACAGAAATCATTGGCGTACGGGGCGTTTTTGGGGGTTAGGAAAATGTTGTTTTTAACAATTCTTTGTTTTGTTCCATTTGTCGTGGAAATACCATTGATGTTGATGCTAGGATTTGGACAATCATATAAGCCAATGAATCTGGCTGCCACTTTTACCAGGAATCGAACCATAATCATTCTTTGTTTGGATTGCTTGAGCGTCGGATGCTGTTCTCTTCTTCATCACCGTTGAAAGAAGCTGGGGAAGCAATTGCTGACAATACCAGACCTACTGCATCGGGTTGTTTTCTATAGTGACACCTTGGACCAGGGAGCGGTCAGCGACCCATCCACAAGACCGAGTCGCCGGAGGAAAGGGAGAGTACAGGAGAGCAAGCTGTCTTCCAACCCTATTCCTCACGATGCCAAAGCAACTGAACCACACCAAAAAAAGAAAGAGATTACTTAAACCGCAACTTTAAAGATGTTCTGGAAAGCACGACTCTGTACCACTAGAATACGTCCTCGTTCTTGTCCTGCTCTTTACCATACTTCCACCTCCATCTTCTGCACCCATCACCCACAGCCTTAGAGCCACGAAAGGTCTCAGCACCCGTGCCATCGCCGGCGTCCCCGTCGGGAGAAACACTACGAACAGCCGCTCCCGTCGCTCCCGTTAACAGCAGCCCAACCACTCGATCAATCCAATAAAACAACACCCTTCCGGCTCTTCCTGGGTTGTCCGACGGTGCCGGAGGCGCCTCCATTTCGAGTCTAATCTTCTCCCAAACTTCGACATACAACACCCAAGCCACTGCTGAAATCCCTCCCTCTCTTCCTTGCCATTGGCAAACGAAGAAGAGCAAAGTAGCGCTGCTTCTAGTGACAACAGGGGCAATGGGGAAGTCGGGAATCATATGCGGATATGCGGCGAGGTCAGCCAATTACTCGTTCCAGGTCTAGATAAACACCTTGCGGGCCCATGGACGTAGTATACTGTTATACAGCTTATGTCCTGTATACGTGTCCGCCGCCGCAACCGCCACCACCACCACCACCGAGAGCGGCTTTCATGTCGGCTTCGACCGAACTGCTTCCGAGGTTGCTGGCTTTACTGAGGAGGACAAGAACAAGAAGGTTACACTCTTCTCTATCAAATCGATTCCATCAGAGGCAGAGGTTTCGAACAGAAGGGCAGTGTGTGCCGTCGTCTTTGAACTGAGCTTTCTGATGGGAATAGCTCGCGGTCGTTTGTTCACGTACACAGCAACGGAGGTGTTCCGGCGCCGAGGCATAGCCAAGGATGGAACTGGAATACTTGATAACTTCAAAATCCCCCATACAGCAACCCTCCGCTATGCCATGGCACCGGAGCCGCAGTGTCTCCGTATACCCGCGTTTGTTTGGCTTCCTCTTGGTTAACCTTGCCATCGTTCCGAGGCACGACACTTGATTCATCTGCGGCCGCCCGACGCGCCCGTCCTTGATCCGGCCGCCCTTCCTCCAACAAAATGCAGAGACGCTCCGCCATCGCCAGGCCAGCATCGGAAGCTCCCACGAAGACGTCCAGGCGCCGAGCGAGCGAGCGAGCAACCTGTCCCGAATACCTCTCTCAACAGCCACAACTAGCCAAAGTACACGAACATCGCAAAAGCAAACCAACTTTCGCTTTCAAACGCTTGTATTTGGCGGATTCTACGGGCCGTTAAAAACCCCAGTGGGGAAAAGGTACCCGGTTTACTTTACAGGCCCGAAGAACCAACCAAACCCAATCCAAATCCAAAACCAAACCCAAACCCAAAACCAAACCCAAATCAACCAAGCAAGAAACGACCAAATCTAGTACCTACATGCTTACAACACCCCACCCTCCGCTTCTTCACCTCCCTCCTCTTCTTCTTCCCAGCCTTCTCATCCTCCGCCGCCTTCCTCACCCGCTCCCGCCACTCCTGCCACTCCGCATACTCATCCTCCAAATACTCCTCCTCGTACTCCCTCTCCAGCTGCTCCACATACCTCTCCTGCTCCTCAATCTCCCTGTCCAGCTCCTCCTGCTGCCTCCGCTGCTGCTCCTCCTTACGCACCTTCCGCCACACTCTCTCACACACCTTGCTCAGGAAGTCCTCCAGACTCTCCGCCTCCTCCTCCTCCTCCTCCTCCTGCCTCTTCCTCTTCACACCCCTGTTGCTACTGCTGTCGCTATGTACATGATCGCTATTCGTTTCGCTATTCGTTTCGCTATTTGTTGGGATAGGATACATTCTAAGAAAACTAGCTAGATACCCACCTGGCGGAGGAGCAGCAGCAGTTGGAACGCCCACTGTCGCCAGAAAGTCAGTATCTTCTTTGTTTGATGTCGGAGACATGATGATTGATTGATTTGAGAGTGGGTGGTGAACTTAGCTGGTTTTGATGATGTTGTTTGCGTGCGATTGCAAAGAAAGACTTGAGCTTTGTTGTGTTGTTGTGGTGGTTGTTTGGAACAAGAGCACAAGTTTGATGTAAAGGGGAGAAATGGAATTTTGGAGAAGGGGAAAGGGTCGAAGTTCCTTATGCTGCCGCGGGGAATGTGGCTTGGGGAACTTTGGGGAACCTAGGGGGGCTTGTGGGCTGTGGCAAGTTGGAAACTTGCAGTATCTGAGGGGGTTGGACTGCTGTGAGGGGGTTCGTGGGTGATGCGGAGGGGGTTTGTCCCTGTGCGTGTTTTACCAGCAGCATGGCAGAGGACTTCGGTGTTTAGGTTTCTTGGTCTCTCGGAGGGCGTAGAACCCAACGGACTTAAGTTGCAATGTATGTCGCTGCATGCGGCTGCATGGGGTGTTGTTCTGAAGCGGTCCGAGAGGTTCTCTGGCACCACGGCAGTCGTCCCGAGAATGGGGCGGGACGGGCCGGGTTTTAGTAGCTCTCAGTATTTGGTACTTGCAATATAACCTCTATGGAGTGCGAGAATGAAGAGAGAATCGCGGATGGTCCAAAGGATGGAATGGAAATCGTTTACCGAGGGGATATCCAAGAAAAAAAAAAAAAAAAGGGAGGACCACAGGATCAAAACCAACGCAGCTCTGTCCTTTTCCTCAAGGTAACTCCACGCAAAACGATTATCCAAGCGAATACCCTCGCCGCTCTGAGGGTGTATCCATCTTATCCTGCAGCGGGGGATATTCGATTGGAACTTGAACCTCTATGGCATACATTGCACAGTGCTTGACAGCTTCCGCCTGTGTCTCTTCCCCGGGTCGTTTCGGTTCGGTTCGGTTCGGTGTCTTTCGTCGCCGTACAGTACGGTCGTTTCTCGCGTTTTGAGTAAAGGAGACGGAACTTCACGGGATCGATCTTGGTCAGATCGAAAAGAGACAAGCACAACAGTCGAAATTATCTAGAGTGTAGGGCAGCGGTACAACTTCATGTCGTGCAAGCCATAGAGCATCGAGTAGTTTAGCCTTGTAGATAGGTGGCGATTGTGGCGTGGCAGATGGTGGGCTGGAAGGGTTGGGGGTAGATCGGACATCTGTTGAAGACTGTCGTTGAGGCTCGATGTATTTAGAGGTAACGATGGAAGTTATGTCTTCGAGATACTGAGGAGGAGGGGAAGACTGTTCGAAGCTTGAGGATCACGTCGTGATTGAATGCCGAGCGTACATGATGGGACTTCGCGCCGACATGAACGGGAGGTGTCAATCTGGTGGTGTCTCGCGTAGGGTAATCGGCTCGCAGGTTCGGAATCTTGTTTTTCTTGTACGTTTGGTGGCGAAGAATATGAGATTGCAGGGAAGAGAAAAGTAGAAAAGAAAGCACAAAAGAAGAAAAAGGAAAAAGAAAATCCGAAGCCCTGCGCAACTCGGTGTTTGCTAACGACGCTGACATGCTCCATGCCCTGGATTGTGGTCCTCTTCTTGGGGCAATGGTGTGTATTGGCATCACGAAGCAAGAGTTATGATTCCGGAGTACGAAATACCATTGACTGCCAGAGATTTACGAAAGTCAGACATAGACGAGGCGGCGAACTATGCGAGTGTCCATGGTGGACAGCTTCATGTTCTGTCCAAAACGGAAAGAATGTTCATGTGTTAGTCCGTGTTTGGGAATTGTTAATGCAGTGGCCCCGCTCACTGCCACCTCGGAGCGACTGTTGGCCAGAGAATGCTACTACAAAGCAGCCGGAAAGGTACTGGCACTAACAGCTCTCTTTGACTTCCAAGATAACACTAACGATATGCCCTATAGCCGCTGTAACATGTAAACAGCTGACCCGATTGCAGCCTCGGAGTTTCGTAAGACTCGGGCAGCCTGTCAGAATTCCAACGACAGAACCCGGTAGAGATTCGGAAGACGGCGACTGCCGTGGGAAGCAGTCCCGTCAGGGGAGAATATCGGCGGACCTGCGACGGCTGCCAGCGGCTTTTGGACTGCGAGCCCACCGGGACTGGCCACGGAGGTAACGACCATGATGAAGGCAGGGTACAGAACGAGAAAAACAAGAATCCCTGTAGCTGTAGAAAAGGACGATAGCCCGGCTAGATATGTCTCAAGGATTGTACCATCGGTTTTTTTGGTCTTGATCACGGCGTTGTGGATGGTAGGATGCTCGGTGGCGGATGACGGTCCATTCTTCCTCGGAGCAGCGATGTGTTCAGGATACGTCGGTCAAACAGCACGATATGCTTGGTTCCATGAGCTTGGTGTATGTTTCGTTGTGGCAATGCTTCGTCGTGGTGATGCTTCGTCGGGATGTCGTTCGCGATGCTTCCGCCCAAGTAGGCTCATGTCCCCCCTTCCAACCCACTGAAACCTTCGCCCAGCGCATGAACCGACTTGATCTTCAACTGGGTCTTGTCATTCATCGACAGAAACATCAAGCATCTCCGGGCATTGTTGTCGAACACTGACCAAGACAGAAGAGCAAAGCTCAGCTTTCTTCCTCGCATCCCCAGACCATAGCCAGAGATCACGACGAAAAAAGCGCGAAAAAAACGACCAAAGGCCCAAAAAAAAGCAGAAAAAAGGTACTGATTCTTCAGCCCTTTTTATCTCCTATGATTTTTTGATTGTCAGCAGGATCAGGCAGAAGCAGACTTTGCAGCCTTCTCTGCCTTCCTCCGCTGCTTCCTCTCCCTTTCCCTCCTCTTCCTCCCCTCCGACTTCTTGCTCGCCACCTTGCACACTCCCGCCGTCTTCTTCCATGGTCCCCCCTTTTGCTGCTTCAAAAACGACTCAAGTTGACGTGAAGCGGCCACAGAGCGAGGTTTCGAATCGGAAGGAAGCCCGAAGGCCTCTGAGGGTTTCTGCAACTTCCTTCCCCTTGTTCTCAAAGGTCGGGATGAGGCAGGCACTCGCAGAGTCTTCGCTTTGGGAGACTTGACCTTCCCCTTCGCCTCGCTCTGATGTTCGTCAAGGTCGGATGATTTCAAAGCAGCAAGCAGAGATCCCATGTCAAAGACATGAGGAACGTACCGGCGCTTGCCAGCAGTCGGTTTTGTTGGTGCCATTGTGTTCAAAAGTGTATGTGAGAAATGAGCAGTTTGTGTCAAAAACGAAGGCAACTGCGAGGCTGAGGAAAGAAAAGGAAAGAAAGAGAGAGGGGAGTGAAGGCGGGACGATAGTTCTTATATAGGAAACTAGAGAGGTGCCACGTTGGACTGCGCTCACCTGCATTAAGACTCACGATTTGTGGTTGACGCACGGCGCTGCAGCAATGCAGAGACTTTTTTTTTTTTTTTTTTTTTTTTTTTTTTATCGCAGAATGGCTTGGGACAGACATTAGTCACTGACCACTGCTTTTTGATGAAATGTAGAATTTCTTCACAGACTCGGAGTTTTGGGAATGATCAAATGTCCGCCTGGAAACCTTTCAAGTTGTCGGCGAACAACACCTGGAAAACAACGACTTGGAGCACAACACACAGCTTTTCTTCCTTGTAGCATTCAACGATAATCGGGCATGCTATCGTTTACTCTTCGACCAAGACGCCGTTGAAGTTGTTTCCCCATGTTCAAGCTCACATCTTTTCACTTCCGAACCCTCATTCCAAGTGCCCCGTCACGCCCTAGATCGCGTCTTCCAACCCGGAAAAACCGTGATGCATATCGATGTTTACCAGGTTTACGACCACATACTTCACATTCAGACACATCTTTCCGAGCACCTTCGGTGATAAACTTTTACGAATGACTTCTTCGGTTTCTTTACAACACCATGCACGCCGCGTTCACGATATGCGCCAAGCCTTCTTCCTCCTGCAAAGACCAGTAAAATTACGCACCTGCAAAGTACGAAACTCGCATAACTTTGTAAATGTCTCACAAAGATTCTACAGCATCTTTCCTTCGGAGAGATGGCCACCTATACCAAGCGTGATGAGAGAGTGTCTGTGTAGGAGACAGAGAAACAGATGTCGTAGTAAAGGCTCAGGGGTTACTAACGTGATATGGCCCGTGCGTGTTTACCTAGCCTCGGTCTGTTCACCTTGCTCACCTTGTCCAAGAAAGGACTCTGTAACATGGTCAGGGTCCTCAGCCACACTTTCAAATCCACTCACACTGTCCATTCTACCCGCCAGCCGCAAAACCCACACCGTGGCGTTTCGTCACCACTCACACTGACTTTGTTGACAAACCAGTTCATCCCAGATCTCCAATCTCCATATCACAGCCCCAGCCTCAATCATCAGCCTTCTGCACGACCTGTAGTGTATTAGGGGTTTGTTTACCTTATTCGTTTGTACATCTTGTACCGCCTTGACAGTTGACCATATTTGCCCATGGTCCCGTTGGTCCCTAGCTCCCTCCATACTACGGATCCGCTCATACCGGCGATCAAGCAAAGACACCGGCCTCGTCTCGAAAGTGAAGAAACTTTCTGATCGTCGGTTGACTCCGCCTTCACTCTCTACACTATTTGGCTCCTCCGAACCGGCTTCCAACGGCTCGCTAGCTTCCGTTGTCTCTGCTTCAGAGATTACAGTGACTGCTAAAAGTCTCGCCAAGTTGTGTGGTGGTGACAACGGAAATTTTTGCGTACGGCGATCTCAACATCTCCACTCCCGTCCCCTCCGACGTCGTGGAAGCCAGGAAGCCGACGTTCGGCCTCCGCTCGGTGCCCCCGCTTTCGGGTACATATTCGGAGCTTATCAACGACCATCCATTGCAGCTCCGCCCTCGGCCGGGTTCGTCAGTGTCTCGGTAAAGCCGTCGAGACAAGCACAAGAAAATTACCTTTTTTTTCTGGCTCAAGAAAAACAAGGAGATACTGAGGCCTCCCTTGGTGTTCGATTTCTTTCAGCGAGCAAAACGGTCAAGACTTTGAAGTTTTCGGTCACAGACGGTACGGGTATCTCCTACTTGAGTAATCGGCCGAGATTAGATTCTTGGGTATACTATACCAAGTACGTTACGCCAGTCCGAACAACAGAAAGATTCTTCCGCAGAGATACTTCCGAAAGGACAGACACTGTGCAATCTCACCTAATCCACCTGCATCTCCAACCGTTCAGGAAAAGCCACCGTACACCTTACCCACCACAAACTGCGTGGGTCCCCTAGACCACCGTCACGGCCCGTTTGCGATTTTTTTTCGGAAGTTTCACATTTCGAAACGTCCTCCCCTGCCACTCGACTCGAAACCGAAATTCGGATAGCGCCTTGTTATCTATCCGATATCCCAGCACACTACACCACTTTCTTCCCACGCCGGCACCATGGACACCCTAACCCCCCTGAACACATCGGACACCCCTCTTCCTACCCCCGGCACACCAACCCAACCACCCCTCCTCAACTACATCCTCTCCTTCCTCCTCGTCGGGCTTGCCTGGGGTTTCACTACCCCCTTCCTGCGGCGGGCCGCCAAGACGCATAACCCCCCACCTCACCCGCTTCTGGAGCGAGAATCAGTGCAAAGGAGCGTGGTGAAGAGAAGCATACTTGGGGTTTGGTTCGCGGTGACGGACCTGATCAAGAACTGGAGGTATGCGTTGCCGTTGGGGATTAATTTGAGTGGGAGTTTGTGGTTCTTTTTGTTGGTTGGGGGGTCAGGTATGTACTCTCTCTCTCTCTCTCTCTCTCTCTCTCTCTCTCTCTCTACCGGGTTCGGTTCATAAAGGGGACAAGTATACATGCGGGGGAATATGAGGGTGATGAAGGAGATGCTAATGAGAAGCATAAAAAAACAGAGTTGAGTTTGACGGTGCCGATTGTCAACACGACGGCTTTTTTGTTTACGGTTATTGGCGAGTGGTGGGTGGAGGGTAAGGTTATTAGTCGTGGTGAGTACTTTTCTGTGTCTGTCTGTCTGCTTTCTTGAATGGGAAGAAGGGAAGAGGGGTTTGCTAACGGGAGACGAGTACGTAGATACAATGCTGGGAATGCTCTTGTGTTTGGGCGGTATTGCGCTTTGTGTTCAGAGCAAGAACGTGTGAGCGTTGGCGTTTTAGAGAATTGGATGTCTAGGTACAAGTTTTGGATAGATGTGTTTTCCTGTATGGCTAGGCGTACGGTTGATGATTCTTTGGAGGTCTACTTCCCTTGGAGTTTCCTCTTCCGTGACTGCATTGTCATGGAGATGACCAAATGCATGATATGATATATCGACACAGTCAACTTCAAGGCCATATCGGATAGAATGCGCTTGAAATCATCTCCAGTCTCCATTCTTTCCCCTTGAATATACTCACATGTCACCTATTACTTGCATGTTCCCAGTCAAGCCGATAACTACTGCTCTTGGCAATTACTCAAGTTCGTATTCGGCACTTTATACATGCGGCAGTGGATATCACGCCGCTGACTCGAATTTGCTTGTCAGCCTCCAATCATGTCATCACTGTCTGAAATGGAAAAAACATTTGTAGTGGATAACTATACTATTTTCTCTCTCCTATGTATATAGGTAGGTATTCTCAATATGTATGTCCCCTGCGCCAGGCAGTTTCCCAGGTAGATCCGCTCCTACCTAGGTAATTTCCATCCATCCAATAACAACTCCTACCATAGGTCTTCCCACCATACTTGAGCAGCCCTGACAGACGTGTTCGTCCAAAAAGACTTCCCAAAGGACGTAACCAGACGTCCTGCGGGGCCCAATAGCCAAAAATGAAAAGAAAGCAAGTAATTACCTATGTACATGCAAGTTTTGTTTCGACGAAAAAGAAGAAGACAAACAGAAAATGAGAAGGGACACAGAAAAAGAAAAGAAACCGAAAAAGAAAACCAGAGCAACGGGAAAGAAAGCAACTAAAATGCTGAAAAAAAAAAAAAAAAAAAAACCAAAAAAAACCAATTTTTGTGCCCCCTTCGTATGCTTTCCCATGCACAAAACAAATAACAGAATCCAAGCAAGAACAGAGCAGAACAAGCCAGCAAGAACGAACAACAAAGAAAGCCTCCTCTAAACTTGAACCCCCCTTTTTTGTATAACGGTGATGCAAAAGATGCAAAAGAACAGAATTCAGACCAAGAAAAAGAGAAAAAAAGTTTGACCAGCAGCGAGAAGAAGCGAAAAGTGTTGTCGTCGTCGTCCAGTTCGTGTTGTGATTCCCCCTTTTTTTTTTTCCAGAGGTCGCCGTAATGGACTAGAAGATGAGGTGTTGTTGTCGAATGTTCCATGATACCCCTTTTCAGACAGAGTGTCATTGTGGGTTGTGGATGTGGTTGTGGTTCGTCGAAGGGGTCGAAGGGGTCGAAGGGATCGAAGAGGGGAGGAGAGAAGAGGAGAGAGGACTGGAGGACATATCGTCGAGAAACCCAATCGAGAGTGTGGTGGACTTAGCACTGGCTCCTCGAACGAATCCACCTCTGGACCTCTCTCAGACTCGGATCCTCGTCTACCCAGCGGCCAATCCTGATGTCGTTCGCTTGGAGTTCGGCGTAGATTGCTTCGTCGGTGATGTTTGCTAGTTCCTGTTTTTTTTTCCCATCATCAGCAACCATCCCCCTTATTCCTGACACACATTCAAGGATGGGATGGGAAGTACTCACAGCCCTCAACTGCCCATCCACACCCTCCATCCCACCTCCTCCACAACCACCACCACCACCACCCATCACACTCTCCCTCCACCCCACCCACCTCTGCGCCGCCGCCTGCCTCAGATAAATCTTTTGTCCCTCATGTCGTCTCGCATACGCATCTAGCAACACCTGCTTGAGTTCCGCTTTGGCCTGCTCATCTGGCCCGGGGCCCGAAGCACACGGAATCGAAATGTCGGCTGCGCAGTTCAAGATGTGTTGCCCGTCTAAAGCGCATTGGCGGAGGGCGGCCCAGCCTTCGGTGTAGTAGTCGTCTGGGTTGCTGGGGGAGGTGGGGACGGCGGCGATTAAGTACTGGAGGGTGCGGAAGTCGGAGAGCAGTTCGGCTACGCGGGCTTCGCGGAGGGGGTTTACTTTGTGAATGGGGTTAGTTTTGGTGGTGGTGAGGGACTTGAAATGAGGGTTGGTGTGTTGGAGAGGGGATGGAGGTAGGGGTAGGGGGGTGGTTTGTTGTTGGTGGTAATGTTCGAGGTCGGTATGCTATAGCTACCTCTAGGTAGGTAGGTAGGTAGGTAGGTAGGGGCTAGGGGGGTGGTTTTCGCTTGGTTTTGCTTGGTAATATTTGAGGTCAGGGGGAAAGGAGTGATGGAGTGATGGAGTGAAGTTGTTGCTTGGCTTGACATTATTTGCGATGTTATGATGATGATAGTCATTACGACATGGGACCTTCCGTTGTTCCTTGGTTCTGGATATGTGTGAAGCCTTGCCCATGTTCCTGTTTGGGAAAAGTCTCGTGGTGGTGGCGTCCCTAGTACGCACCTGAACCTCTTCCATGGGTGTGTGTATGGGTCTTGGAAGGGTATGAGTGGTTGTGGGTGGGTGGAAAGGTGTGAAACAGTGGTGTGAACGGCAGTGGATGAGTGCGTGAAAAGGGTTGGGTAATCCCTATAGGGAGATCAAAGGGGGGTTACGTATGCCGGTGTGTGTGGAAAGAACCCAAAGCTTTGGTAGGCCCGGCAGACGGCAAGTGAGTAGAGTGGGGATGGGGAAGTGAAAAGTGACATAGACAAGGTACTTACGGCCGTCAGACATGGTTGTGGTTGTTGTGAGATGGGTATCTGAGAAGATGGATCCTTGGTGGAGATGGGAATTCGACAAAAACCTTTCAAAGGCAAAAGTTCGTGACACTTTTTGGTAGTGGAACGGGAAGAAAGGAAGAAACAAGAAGAGTGTCGTCGAGGTATGAAGCGAATTCGGTGAAGGGATGGCTGGTATAGCTGAGAAAACCAAGGCAACTGCAAGTCAATGCGTGCTGTGATGAATTGGCAAGTCTAGAAAAAGGAAGAGATTGGCGGCGGCGTCGGTTCAGATCGTGATCGTGAATCCCTGGACAACTGAAGACCGGAGTGTCGTATTCAGATGGCTCGATGCTGCTGAATGATGGGTCGTGATGGTAACTTGGGAGGCGATGTTTGAGACCTTTTGTAGAAAATTGTTCCCGTCATCATAGAAAAAAGAAAACAAAACCGTTGAAGCCATGTGGAGGAGTGGTGGAGGAGTTGAACGGCATTACCCCCTGAATAGAACCCTGGAGGTAAACCGATCATGGATTGCGTGTGTGTGTATGTGTGTAAGTGGTACGTATTGCCACAAGTTCATGTCCAGTCGGGCAAAGAAGCCATCACAACTATTCCCGGTCAACACCTCATGGCCTCATCCCTCACTTCTCTCTAGTGTTCCCGGAGCCCAAGGCTCACGCCGGGCCGCATCGTCCACTAACGTTGACGAGATGGAGATGGATGTTCATCAGCCGCTCAACCTAAACCCTTGGGTTGGGATGTGTCGTTCCACCCAAGGAAGGGATACAGGCTAGTTCGTGATGTACGATGGCTCGCGGCAGTTGGAGTCATGAACTAGCAAAGAACCCCTACCAAGCTGTAAAGCTGCATGAACTCCGGCGTGAAGAGTCACGAAGAGGGCCATACAGGTTGCGAATCGGACATCCGATAAGGCCATGGATATTCCCAACGCAGGTACAAGAGTTTAGCGTGGATGTTGGGGACTGTATGGAGCATGTCACGACGACCACAACGGCCTTACTCCACAGGCTGTGAAGTTCGGCACGAGTGACTAGTGTAAGGCTAGGGAGACCATGTTTTGAATAACTATACGGGTCAACAAAGTTCATGATCCTAGTCCACCTGGAAATGGGAGCCGGTGCATGCAGGAGAAGTGGGAATATCGTGGTAAGCCTCATCGTGTTTGGGTCCGATGCCAGATCTTTGGAGCGGTATGGGGTTGGCGTGGTGACCCTGCCTCACTCCCGGGTCGGAGCCTCGGACGAGTTTGTCATCAGGGCCTTGTTCAAGCCTCGATATCAAGTTGGAAAACTGAGCGGTAAACAGTCCTTGTGTGCCCTCGTGCTCCGTCACTCTGTCATCTCTCCAACCACAACCCAGTACATCCAGCCATGTCCAGCTCGTAAGCGCCTTCAAGCCAAGGAGGACGCCAAAAAGGAGGCTCTTTGTTGTTGCTCATCATGACCAAGTGACGGTGACACAAACCCAGAAACAACAGAAAAAAAAAGGATAAAGTCGTGAAATGTGGGGTTTCTAGCAGCCTCTTGGTCGTCTTGGCAGCCCAGCAAGTCCCGATTAGGAAAGATAGACGAGCCCTTCAGCGGCGCCACAGACGATTTCCAGCCGCCTCTTGGCTCCGATATGGCGATCTTGGCGGTATCCGCAGCAACAGAGAGGCAGCCCAATATCAAATCAACATCGTCGGTGGCTCAGGACAACCTCAGGTGTCAACACGACCAATCACATCCCCCAAACTCTAACAGTTCTAACCCAAAAGAACATGTTCCTGGGCTGAGCTGAGGCAGCGAATCTGGTTTGAGCTTTCTTTAGCACATTCTTGAAACCGACAGTCTGTTCTGTTCTCCCCCTCGGCTCCGGCAGATCTCTCGTGGGTTGGTGTACACTACCGTTGAATACAAGTAGGTAGGGTTGCATCGAGACCCTCTCTCGGCCAGTGACCTCATGGTGTTTCCACATTTTGTTCAACTTTAGAGTCAGAACTTCTTCAAAGCAAAGCCCGAAACATCATGTAGGTTTCCACGTTAGGAATGATTCTCTTTCCAGTTCGGAGCTGTGATGTTCTCCAAGCTCCAGTCATATCCATCAATTCGGTTACCAAGCCCCCTTCTCTTACCATTTCCAGTATCTGCAATCATCTCCATCCAGCTGGGTCACTCCCCCTTTGTGTCCCGTTCCCAAGTCTTCCATGAGATACTACCCCTTGGAAAATCTCACAAGTCCATGGCGTTCTCGGCCTTTTGCCCGAATCCTGAAACATCCAATCCCATTCGTCAAGCATCTCATGCACAAACGGAACCGTTCCGAATCTCTGCTAGTCCCCTCGTCATTGCTAACATTACATGGTTAGTTTCTTTCTCTCCGAACCTGCGTGCAGTACATACCTTACACGTGTAGCAGTTCTCCATCAAACACAACACCGATCCCATAGTCTCGGGAAACACGGAACCGTATCCACGGTATAGCTCCATTCATCCCGGGAGAAGAGGCAGCCTTCTTCAATAAAATTTTACTTGTCCAAACTAGTGAACATCCTCCAAGGGCCAAGGAAGAAAGAAGGAAGGAAGGGGTTGCATGTGACTTTCAATGGATGCTTCCCATTCCGCATTCCTTTTTCTTCCTTCCCTTTCCGCTTTGAGACTTACATCACTAGCTTCAACGTCTTCACTCTTGGTCCGGTGTTTGCTTTCCCTGCTTTCGATTTCGATTTGTCCATTTCATTCTCATCTGGAGGCCCCATCACCTTTTCCTCCAGGGACTTGCTTCCTTCTCTTCCTATTTGTTGCATTTCGAGATTTCCAGGGGCATGTCTTGAAATCGTTAGAATAGTTCGTTTGATTGCCCGTGCCGTGCCGAGTGGTCGTTGACTTCAGTTGCCCCGTCACCCCCTGTGCCTTATAGCCGAACCCGAAGTGCATGCGGACGGACTAGATGGGGGGATTACGTGGTGAGCGGGCCTGTTGAGGCGGCCGTCTTTGAAGAGCCTCATTGTGTTGTGGAGACATGAGGTGTGAGGTCGGCGATGATGAAGGTAGTGTACCTAGGTAGACAAGTCTACTCTCATGGTTGAACTGACGTTCTTTGAAGTCCAACTTTCTTTCGCCTAGATGCCATAAACCCAGTGTAAACCCCCCCCCCCCCCCCCCCCCAAGGTTACCACTAGGTTTGAACATCAATATGATAGATATCACGAGGTTGACTCCCCTCGACTTCAATCTTTCTACCAAGGTACTTACTTACATTACGCATCTACACTTTGACGCCATCCGTCCACACTCCACGTCCGGACCGCATGCCGGGAGGTAATGTGATGTCCCATGCCCATGTCATGTCATGTCCCTACCTACGTACATCACAGCCCTTGTTAGTGTACGTAGAGATACCTATGTACACTTGTAGTGTAGTGTTCACCAAAAAAAAGGTACGTACCCCATTGGCTGCAACCCAACCATGCATCCAACCACCACCATATCGGGAGGCCACCACCACTAGCGCCGCCGCGCCGTTCGTCCCTCAACACCACCACCCACCACATCCACATCCACATCCAACAACATCCTGGGACGACGACGACAGACCTTGACCATCACCACCACCCTGGCTACATCTCGACATCTCAACATCGAAAATTATCTTTCCACTCCCCCCTTTTCATAGTTTCCCCACGTCCGACGTGGCAAAAAAAAAAAAAAAAAAAAAAAAAAAAAAAAAAAAAAAAAAAGATTGCAACAAAGCAAGCACCGCTCTATTCTCCCGGTACGGTCCATGATACCTAGCTCTAGTCCCCACCGGTTCTCCGAACTTGAAGTCACAACAACATTCAATCACTTTGCTTCTTCTGATTATCTTGCTTGTCGCTTTACCCTCCTTCTTTCTTTCTTTTCTTTTTTTTTTTCTTTCTCTTCCAGTCATATTGGTTGGTACCCAACACACACTACTCCCTCGATTCTCTTAAGTGATTTGAGAAAGCGTCAGGCTCGTTTCAGCCTTCAGCTCTGGTCTCCCGTCCCTAGCGCGGCTGCAAGGCTGGATTATGACTTGGCTTCCTTCCTTTTTGGATTCTCCTTCTGTACAGTTAGTATAGCATATAGCTAGACTCTTGTGTACTGTGAGGCTGTGATGATGATTACTCTATGTCACGCACAGCAACAAACCAACTGCCGGCATGTTGGAGCCTTGTGCTAGTAACTGGGCAAGATGATATCGGACGGTATTGGCGTGCTCTGGTGCGAACAAGTTCTCTGCGTATGCAATCAATCACCATACCATTCTCTTCCCACTATCTTCCTCATGGGCCATTATCATTCCATTGTTTGCTTTCAGCTCTCTTAGACACACATCTTCTTCGGATTCTCCGTGAGTCCATTTATCGATGATTGATGATTTCCCAGCTGCCTCCAGGGTAGCATCCCTTTCCTCATTCATCTTCCAGATAGACCACGTCACAGCATCAACCAGCAAATAGTCTCCGTCTGCATGCCTGCCTCCCTTAGTCCTTTTCGGCAATAGCTTGTAGCCTCTCGTCAATCTCGTCCTCGGTCAACGTCCTGAAGCCGGGATATGTGCCCTCCTTTCCGTCCGGCCTGGGTCCACCGACGATACCAATCTCGATCTCGGTCTTCTTGAAGTCCATGCTTAGCACCGTGCTGAGCGTGGTGATGGCCAACTCCACCACCTCCTTCCAATCACCGGGCGCGTGATCCTTGTTCTTGAGCTTCTTCTCCAGGTGGTTGAGGGCCTCCTGCTGCTTGGGACCCGCCGCGGTGCCCTTGTAGCCCGTGTAGTAGCCTGCCGGGTCGCACTTGAACAGCTGGGGGCCAAACTCTGAGTCGACCGATATGAGGGTGACGGCGACGCCGTATGGGCGCATGAAGGCCTGCAGTTGGAAAGAAGAGTCTCTGGTTAGTATATCATCCTCTTCCTCTTCTTAGAGACTAGCCCGTCGTGGGGGCAGCTGAATGTGGCTTACGCGCTGAGTGTAGACCTGGCTGATGTTGGCAATGCGCTTGGCCAAGGCGTCGCATGGCATCTCGTAGCCAAACTTGTATCGGAACTCGGCAGCCTCTCCCTGGGCGCGTTGTGCGAAGGCGCGCGCATCGGCGATGGATCCAGTGATGACGCAGCCAACCGAGGGCGAGATCTGGAAGATGTGGGAGACGGAGGAGGGGTCGATGAGCTTATCCTGTTGTCGCATGACCGTCAGTATATCATACGGCCGGTGGAAGCCTCCTATTACCCAGGACAACATACGGGAACCTTCTTCTGGGACAGAACTACGGCGCAGTCCTTCCCCCTGACGCCGAGCGACATGATGTTGGCAGCTGTGATGGCCTTGAAGGCATATTCTACCATGGTCCTCCGTCGTCAGCACCTCTGTTATCCATCTAGTTCATCGTCATCGGCTGCCTTCGCGTTTCGGTGTCTGGGATCGGGTCGTAGAGGGGTCGAAGGTCGAGGGTCGTGGTACGCCATTCGGACGGGGCGATGCAGACATACCAACTTGGTACAATCTTCCCTGCTCGGAAAAGATCGTAATGTGTCTGTCGTAGCCAGCGCTGCCTGTCGTGGGGGATGTATGTTAGCCATGGCGCCTACATCATAGCATGGTGATAACTTGGGGGAGCTTCAGTAAGTGGGTGGAGCGGGCAGTCCAGGTGGTGGTTGAACCCGAGCTCTGACTTGACGTACCCGACATCTTGGAAATTTGATTAAATGGACCGGTCTAAGTGTAGTTGTGTTACAAAATGGGGAAATCGCCGGCTTCGGTTGGAAAACAGTCGTGGTGTTTGTTTGTTGACGTCTGGAAATGGATGGGTCGAGTTGGTGGTGGCAGGCAGAAGGGAGCTTCGTCGTTGGTCAAGGCGGCGGGCGGGATGGATGCCCGGATTGCAGTGACGATGTCCAGCAACTCCAGCCCAGGGCAGTGGATGGACAGCTGCTGCTCCAGCGCCCGCCCATCGAACGCGTTACGGCGGGATTGCCTGGAGGATGGCCAACGATCTGATAGGTAGGCCAAGGACACCAGGTGACGGCCAGCCGCCTGGGCCAGTCCATCGCCCGCCAGGCCAACGGAAACCCAACCCCACACGATTCCCGTAGGTAGCTCGAGATGACCCCACTCGAACTGACAGCTTCAATCCACTTTGCCTGCCGCCCGAGCTCCCGTCTCGTCGTCCAGATTCCCCAGACCAAAACCCCACTTTATTTCCATCTCTTATCACGACTGGGACCCCTGCTGTAGGGCGCCGATAAGCTTTAGGGGACAGAAATTTGCGATTTGGAGGAAACGGGAATGGCAGTCGCAGTTCTTCAATTGCAATTCAAAGCAGCGACACCACCAATAACATATCCAATTCCCCGTCGCACCGCAATCAAGCACAGGGAGCTTTGAGCCGACCAACTTACGAACTGGGTCTTGGCTGCATACCTGTTTCGTACTCTCGCCATCGTCAATTGAGTTCCTTTTTCCCCAAGCAACTCCCGGTCCCTCGTGTGATTCCACCGTCTGTAGTGGTCGCCCACGTCACTCGACGCTTCCTGTCGCGTACCGATTCCGATCCGACACACCACATCACATCGCATCAAACCAGACCAGACCAGACCAAATTCAGGGCACACTGCATACAGCATAGTCGCAGTCACAGTCGTATCCGACATACATCCTCCATATTATACCCCTTCTTTCTCCCTCCTCTCTTAATCGTTCTCCTCCTTCCTCTCGCCCATCATGTCCGCCGTCCCGGCCTGGAAGCGATTGGGTCTCAAGCTCAAAGGATCTGCTGGTGACAGTCCTGCGGCCGCCCCCTCGACGACAACAAGCACGCCATCCGCCACCCGTCAGCCAGCTCCCGCGACCAGCGCACTCAAGAGGAAACTGCCATCCCAGCAACAGTCCTTCAACAACCAGAACAACTACCCTACACAAAACAAGCGATTCCGTTCCGATAACGCACCAGCAGCACAGAGAAAGTCCGTCTCCTTCTCCCAAGAAACCAAGACCACCTCCACCACCGACGCCGCCGCCAAGGAGAAGAAGCGCGAGAAGAAGAAGGCCAAAAAGGCCAAGCAGGCCTCCAAAAAGTCCGCCGAACAGTCCAAGAAATCCAAGTCCGACACCAACCTCGAGCCCTCCCTCGCCTACCTGCGCCAGTGGCACTCGGCCCGCGACCAGTGGAAGTTCAACAAGAACCACCAGACGCTGCTGATCAAGTACGTGTTCGAGTCCGACAAGATCCCCTCGGCCGACGTGCCCCTCTTCTACCAATACATCCGCGACCTGAAGGGCTTTGTGCGCACGCGGCTGCGGGAGCAGGCGCAGGAGATCAAGAAGAAGGATATGGAGGCTGGCGCTAGCGCGTTCCCCGGTGGGGACAAGGCGAAGGAGAAGAACGAGGAGAGGCAGAAGCAGTATGAGGATGCGATTGCGAGGTTCTTGGACGACCAGAAGGAACGGACGCAAGAGAAGAGCAAGAAGCGCAGCTTTGACGAGGTCGAGTTTGTCTCGAGGATAGCGCCCGGCGGCAGCGGCAGCGGCAGCGGCAAGAAGGAGAAGAAGGACAAGAAGAAGAAGGAGGAGACGAACGACAAGGAGGGTGCGGTGGACAAGGATGTCAAGGAGCGCTTGATCAAGCGGATTCGTGCCGAGATGGTGCTAGAGGAGCTGGCGGACTCTGAGGACGCTACTTCCACCACCGCTACCACCACCACTACTACCACCACTTCTACCTCTGCTTCTACCTCCACCGCCGCCGCCGCCGCCGCCGCCGCGCCTGCTCCTCAACCACAAACCGCCAGGGCCTCGACAGACGGTCAACAACCCGCTAAGCGCCGCAGGTTACGTAACAAGCGTACGGATATCAGCGACAGCGAGAGCTCGGACTCTTCGGACAGTGATAGCAGTGACTCCGATTCTGACTCGGACGAGGAGATGGCCGATGCGGGAGCCAAAACAGCCACCACCAGCACTTCCTCATCCTCCTCGTCGTCGTCGTCGTCTTCGAGCTCAGAGGCGGGGTCTTCTGAGTCGGAAAACGAGAAGAGCGATAGCTCGGAAAGCAGCGACAGCGACAGCGACTGAGCTTTGGTTCTGTAATTTAGAGGAGTTATATATTCTTGTTTAGACGTACGTTCGGTTGGGGTTAGAGTCAAAAGCTTTTCTGTACATTCTTGGTTTTTTTGGGGTGGTTATAAGTAGGTACTGTTGTTTACAAGAGATGTTCACATACATTACATAGGAATGAATGGATAGTATGGTACGTATGGAATGAGAAACGTAAAAGAGTTTCGAGGAAACCAATCAATTACCTCCAACCATTCATACATCCCACTTTTCCTCAACAAGAATAAGCTTCATGCACGACATCAGCCATGTGACAGACGGGATGTGAATGTGAGGAGTAGGTATGTAAATCGTCTCAACCAGAATCATCAACCGCCCGCGAATGTTTTACCGGATATAAGAGGTAAGTGTAGAGTCCATGTAATTCATTATAATGAATATAAAGAAGAGAGGTATCGTAGTATAAGATGAATCAAAACTTAGTTATTACATCTAAACTAAAGTTATTGCCTCCCAACGCCATCCCGGATATCCAAATAAAAACTAAAATAAAACTGCTACGCGCAGAAAACCCTCCTTTTTCATGATCCCTCGCTGTGCGGTGTGATCCAATGATCATTGCAATGATCAATCATGCTTGCTTGCTTGCTTCCTTGCTTGCTGGCTGAATCCAAAAAAAAGCCCCCAAAAAGCCCCCCGACCAACTTGCTATGTAGGTATCATCATATATATGCAATCATCCTCTCTGGTTATATCCCACCTCTAGTTCTGTCTTCCGACCTCATGATGGCTTTTGACCAGATTGAACAACAAAATCCAGTAACCCCCCCACCTCCACCACCCCCACACACCCCCCATGATCTGGCCCTCCCTCCATAACACCAACCACACACTCATCCCCGAAATCCATCTCTGTTTCTGCTTCCTCTTCTTTTTCCTCTTCATTTTCCTCTTCTTGTTTCTCTGCTTCCGCCTCTCCCACAGTCACCACCCTCGTCCTCGTCCTCATCGTCGTCGTTACTACCCCCGTCGCCCGAACGGTGCGCATGGCTTTGATCCACTCCGCCGCGTTGCGCACCTCCGTATCGGCCGTCAAGGACAAAAACTCGGTTTGGGGCGTGACGAGCCAGCTGAGACGTGGATCAGATAAAGAAAGGGAGAGTTGGGAGGGGGTGAGGCGTTTGATTCTACTGGGGGAAACGACACCTCCTCCGTGGGAAAGCCGTACCCAGCCGGAGGGGGAGGCGTAAGCGGCGAGAAGGAGGTCGGCGGCTGTGAGGGTGGGTGTTATTGGGTCGTGACCCGGTTGGTTGTGAAGAGGAGTCTCGAGGCAAGGGATTTCGTGGAGGGGAATGGATAGGTCGCGGAGGGAGCGGCGTGCTGGTGATGGTGAAGGTGGTGATGGTGGTTGAGAGGAGATGGACATGGAGGATGTGGTGCGGGAAGAAGATGGCGTGGTTCCTGAGGTTGAGGAGCTAATGGAGGGTGAAGGCGAGACGGAAGAGCCGCGCAAAGCGGCGCCGATAGCGCCTCCAGGGTGGTTTTTGGCAAAGACCTTTGATACAGAAGGATGCAGTTCATGGCTTGCCACCATCGCTAGGGCGTCGCCGACTGAGAGTGCAACGGTCGTGGAAGTCGTGGGTGCGCTGACACCAAAGGATTTAGTCTCTGGCTCGTGGATTGGGGCTGGGAGGAGGATGGTGTCTGGTCGCTGGCGAACAATCTCGCATGTCTCTGGGCGGGTGTGGCTCGTGAGCAGGATGAGTGGTAGTGACTTGTCCAGGTGAGGGAGGAGGAGAAGTAGCTCGGGCGTCTTGCCCGAGAAGGTGATCAGCATAAGGGTGTCGTTTCGGCTGTTGATCTGGCCCAGATCGCCGTGCAGCGCTTCTGTTGGGTGCAGGAAGACAGCCTGGATGGCGAGCGAGTTGAAGGTAGCAACTAGCTTCTTGGCAATGTGTCCGGACTTGCCCACGCCGATGATGACCAGCTTGCCATTGCGCCCATGATCGCCCTGCCGCCGGACAATGGCGTCGACGGCGCGGTGAAACCCGTCGCGCGCAATGCGGTCGGACGAGTACAGGTCGGTGATGCACGAGAGCGCAGTGGAAGCCGTGTTGAGCAGGTGCACGGCGCCCGAGAGGCGCGACTCGACGGCGAGCTGCTCTTCACATGCTGCAATGGCGGGCTCGACAAAGTTGTGCAGCGGGAGCTTGTCGATGGGCGAGCAGCAGAAGTCGTCTTCGGCCGGGGTGATGGGCGACGGCGGGGAGGGACGGCCGCCGCGGTGGAGGTGGTTCGGAAAAGGCGTCTGGCTGAGGACGTAAACCTCGCTGTTGTGGACAGGCCCATGTTCAACCATGGTTGCGATTTGCAAAGGAACTTGTCGGTCGCTGTCTGTTTGGTCGTGGGTTGGGGGTCCGTGAGGAAGTACTATATGTAAGTACCTTGAGGGACCGATCGTATGCGCCGATACTTATGGAGGAGGGACTGCAGTGATCACAGCTCGGATGTCCAAAGTTCCGTCTTGTCAATATGTGGATCCCTTCGTTTCCTGATCCGTGGTATTGGAACCGATCGCTGTGTAGACCAGACAAAAAATGAGATCTCGGCTGGTGTGGAAAGTCGTCTCAAATCTGGAAGATATCAATCGCAGCAGATATCGAGATTCGGAGATATCGGCTAGAGGCGAAGATCGGAGCGAAGGAAGAAGCACTGCAACTTGCCAAGGACAGCGTCGACTTTTTCTCTGAGTCGTCACAAATTTGTTGACACTTCAGTTGCAGAGTCTGTCGAATTGTCCAAGTAAGCTCTGGTCTTGTGGTCAATGGTGCTCGAGGATGTCGTTGGAATGTGAAGCTCGCGGCGTAATGCAGTTTAAGCTCTTGCATGCGTTTTCGTGTGCGATTGTGCCTTTGCGCGCGAACTGGTACAGAACACACAGACTTGATGGTTCAAAGGTCTCGACTTGCGAACAGTAAAGAGTCGATTTCAATGATAAAGATACAACAAGGTATGGTTTTTATGAGATAGTATGGGAAGAGGACGTGCAGGTGAGGATGGATGTGATATGGAGATGGCGAAGAGGAAGGAGGCTGCAGATGCACAAGCGACTAGGAGCGGATGGAGGGAAAGATAAGATGTTATAACCGGAAATATTATCGATCGCACTCATCGATGGGAGACTGAGTGAGTGTCTTGCTTGTAGTGTACGATCCCGCAATGACTTTCCGTTTCCAGATTTGTAAGTTGGGGAGACACTGGAGACCCTGCATCTCTCCCAAACTCATGGGAGCCCGTTCACAGAAAAATAAAAATCGAGTCTGGGTATCGATTCAAACAGAGATCGACCAATGACATGTCGTCTTCATGACATGGACGTTGGCGCCAGTCGCAGATCCCTCCCCCGGGCCTCGAAGAAGCCGCGATCCGTTCCCCAAGTCCATAGGCGATCTGAGCAACCTCATTATCGGGGCTGGAGCATCGACCAACCACGGACCCCCCTGGAGCCGTGGGTGTTGGATGTCGTCTGTCTCAATTCTTTTCTTCTTTTTTCTTCGACATCTCAGATCCCAATGTGGAAGGAATGATATCAGGACAAGTGCTCCGAATCACAATTCATTCAGTTTGAAATTGACTTGGCGGGGCGAGCAAGGTAGAGGTACCTAGGTAACGTCCTTCCCGTTCTGTAATCTGTTTCGATCGAAACAAACCATAGTCTCACAGCCCAGTCCGTCGAGTCCAAGGGACCGTATCCTCGACACGCTCCCCACGCTAAAAAGAGGCTTCGGCGCATTCAATTCATGCTGTTTAGATATATTGGGGTATATGCAGTGCAGATTATCAATTGACCCCAGAATGTGCAACACTGCCGTCGGACGTGAAGCATTGAATATGCGGCCAGTGTCGCTTTGCATCTTGCGTAAAGTTGCCGGTAGTTGCGTGATTGCAGGCGCAACTTTTGTTAGGTACCATCATACCTCGTTGTAAGGACTCGTTCGTTCGATAGTTTTGGAACATTTGGACCACTAGAACACTGCCATCTCCCCCACATGGTTCAATGACGAGGATCAAATGTTCGCATCCGGACAAGGTCTCAGATACGGTAGGACGGCAGCCTGGCGGTGTACAAGACTTCCGTACCTTTCCTTTCACTTGCTTTCATTATCCAGCTTCATGTTCGGCGAATGTACCGATTGAGCAAGATGGAGATTCGATCCCGGGGTTCAGTGTGGTGAGCACATGGATAGCCGATCTACTATATTGATAAGCACCCGCCTCGTGTCATTGATTATCTGACAAGGCGCTGGGATCCGAAAGGGCCAAGTGTCCTGCCATGATGATGGTGTAGGTACACTACACCACTACACGGTACATATATGTCGGGATGGTGTCGAATATCCATGTGGGAGAGATAACAGTTTGCAGTGGTTTGGAGAACCGGTGTTCATGATGGCCCCGCGCCGAGGTCCTGCTCCGAATCTTTCTAACCGCAAGAGGACATCGAGGCAGCCCGTCTTTTCCGTTGATCGGGCCGCGGTGGAGTCGCGTCGGTGCGGCTCAGCATTTGCGCTCGACATGGGTCGGAATACGTGCTTGAGTGACTGACATGTCGGTTAAGTTTGTCTTCAACACTTCCACCTCCACGTTCAGCATTCAGCAGCCATTGCAAGGCAGACTGGTTGGACGACTTTGGGGTTCAGGACTCCCAATAACGCATACACCGCCAACCTAATGCTGAGTGTCTCGCATCCAATTGCCAAAGAAAGGCGGCGGGGAGACAAAAAGAAAAGGTACCCTTCCATGTCCTCTTCATGCTGTGTATCGCGAGGGAAGATGGATTTGGGGTCTTGGCCAAGAGAGTCAAGGAGGGCGCCAAGCAACGACCAAGTTGCTTGGCAGTTCTTTCATTTGGAAAGACGCATGCTCCACCATTCACCGTCAAGTGGTCATTGCTGCCAACTTCTTCCTCGATACTTATCGATGTCAGCCAGTGCGGGAATCTAGGTTGACGGAAGGTTTGTGAACATCTCATCTCATCGGCATCAATCGAAGAGTCGATGTTGACGACGACGAAAATCACGTAAGCCGGCCACACCATCAACATCGACATCACCACTACTAGTACACCATCTCAGGGTCCAAGACAAATCGATGACAGCTTGCGCGTCGTACGCGGCGCGGCATGTTGGGATCCAGATTGGAACAAGATAACGGTTATTGCGGCGGTGGGCTTGATAGTACGGCACCACCACCACCACCACCGCCACCACCACCACAAACGTCGTACAGAAACAAGCACAGCCCGGCATATCATTCTTCTCCATGGCCCTACCGCGCAGGCAGAGGCAACATAGTGAAAAAGTTGAAAAGGTTTTGCTTTCGCAATTGAATGGTTTTCGACATCAAAAATTACGACCGGAACGGCCCCGAAGGGCAATTCACGGTGGCTAGCACCACGATGTGCAATGCAGGCTCTCCACCGTACTACGCGGTTTTCTTGATCTCCGCGCAGTCAATCAAGGTAAGTATGAAGAAAAAAAAAAAAGAGAAGAAGAAAGTCCCAAGAAATGGGAGGGGGACCCATGACTAAATAGGCTACTGTGGGATGGCCTGTGCACGAGTGCAAACTGCGCCAAATGGTACGTGCGCGTCTGCAATTTTGTGCAGTTGCTGGCGGCCGCAAGGTCGTGCCGGAGTGTTGCCGGACTGTTCTGCCAGTCGGCTAATACAAGTGTGAATGTCAAACAGCAAGTGAAGGTCGCGCCTTCGTTGGAGTTGCTGAGGGTTGTTGTCGAACATCGGAAAGGACAATGAGAATGTCGGACGGTGAGAGGAAAACACTTACCCTAGTGTACATAGAAATCGAAGACCGTGGATGCCAACGATCGCATCGATCGATGTGCCCCAAGTTCTAGATCTGTCCGCCGAGTCAACTTCCCTCACAAATCACAATGACCTGGACCCCTGACCCTTTCTTGACAGAGGGGATCCTTGAAGCCGAGCCTTATCGGGCGCTTATCGGCTTCGCCCCTCCATGATTCGTGGTGGCTGCCAGTGTTGTTGAAGCCAAAGTTGTCTTGTCGAACTCGTTTGCGATTCCAACCTGTCTCTTCCTAGTTTCGCTTGTCAACCACATTGATTATTCTGTTCTTCAAGCGAGCTCGTCGAACGTCATAACCACCGGCCAAAATGTCCGAACCAATCTCCGTCCTCTTCGTCTGCCTCGGCAATATCTGCCGCTCCACGATGGCCGAAGGTGTCTTCCAGTCGATGGCCAAGAAGCCCGAATACAAGGGCCGTATTTCCAAGATCGATTCGTGCGGAACTGGTATGCCTTTCCACGGACCACTGACCTTTTCTGTCATGCCCAGTTCCCATGCTAACCTTTCCTCTTCTTTCCAGGTGCCTACCACGTTGGCGAAGGCCCCGACGACCGAACGATGGAGACGCTCCAAGAGCACGGAATAACCGATTATATCCACGCCGCGCGCAAGGTACGCTTTCCTCCATCAGCTGCTGGTGGCTGACAGACATCCTACTAGTCCTCGTCCTCGAATCCCTCCTTCGATATCTAACTGTTATTCCACGATTAAAAGGTCAATACCTCCGACTTTGACAAGTTCGACTACATCTTCGCCATGGACCGGGCCAACTTGGCCGACCTCCAGCGCCTGCAGCAACGTCATCCAGGAAAGGCCAAGGTGATGCTCTTTGGCGAGTACTCGGGCACCGGTAAGGCCGAGGTCATCCAGGATCCGTACTACGGCGGCAAGTCCGGGTTCGAGAAGGCGTATGAGCAGGCGACGAGGTTCTCCAAGAACTTTTTGGGCGATGTCTTTCCGGATGTCAAGGCCGAGTAGTGAGTAGAAGATGAGCTTTCGTCAACCCAAAATTAGAAGGCAGGCGTTGAGGCGTTGGGATAGACTGTTGCTGTTGTTTTAGACCGAAGATAGATACCAGTTATGTAGACGCTGTCGTTTGTGCATGTTTCCTTTTGGTCGGATTTCTCCCCCATCATATCGAGGTAGCTGCCGTCGAGCCCCGTTACGTGTTGTCATTGCGAGAGCGAGTTGTCTTGATTTATGGACATCACTTCGATCGGGTCAACAGCGGCTCATAACCTCGTCGTCACGAACGGAGGGAGCTCGGTGTTCGTATTTCGGACTTGCACAACGTCCAAAAGGGTCTGCTACTCTGAGTGGTCTATCTACGATGATGCCAAGGTAGTATGAATTTCCTCTCGGTGAAGGCGACGACATCGCGGCCTATTCTGGCGACCAAGTCTAAGCATCTAGGACTGCATCAGCCCTATGGCACTGGGGACGTCCAGGAACGACCAGGGAGTCAGTGCGGCCACATGTTGTTGGCATCAGCCGGCCGACTGGGTCAGGGGAAAACTGGGATCCTGTCCTTTCGAAAATCCTCCAATACTGGTTGACGGCAGTTCACCATCAAAAAAAACTGTTCGAGATGATAATTCAAGGTGAGGTTTCGGAGAGGGCCGCCGTCCAGACGGCCGCCGGATCACGGATGAAGCTCAGCCCCGGAGCTTGCGTTCCCCGGCTCCAGAGGTAAGCACTCTTTTACTTCGGTGTCGTCCGCCAACCTTCACCTTGACGCCCTTAGTTAAAGCCAAGATCTGCCGAGGCATCGTGTGCATGGACAATCAAACTTCATGATATTTTCACTTCGTTCAAGCAACAGCAACGATCCGTAAACAATGCGTCCCCCCTTCGAACTCATCGAGATGATGGTAGTGATGATTGCGAATCTTTTTGACGCTGGCCAGTGGGGAGGCGGCCGTAGTCGCGCGCCAAAAAAAAAAGGTGAAGCACCAAAGATGGCCGCCGGAGGAGGGTTGCAAATCACAGCGGGGACGCAGCGGGTGGGGTAGAATCAGGTACCGTTCCCTTGTGATTTCCGCTGTGGAGTGACTTTGCAGTGACATTTGTTGGCTGGGCAAGGGGAGACCGACCACCCAAAACAGGCGCTCCCAAGCCAGGCGATCCCTCTGTTTGATTTTTCGGTGTGTTTTTTTTTTTTTTTTGTTTCAAGGCGGCAAGCATTATGGTAATGCCCTTGTTCTGTTTCGATGAGGGGGTGGTTTGTTATGGCTTTATATGTAGTGTTCAGTTGTCAATGCGATGCTCACGCCCCTAAAACTCATTGTAGTGTAAGTCTGAAGAGAGGCCGCCATTGTGAGCAATGTAGACTAGACCTAAGTCTTGGACGAGTTAAACGTTCAGCAATGAGTAGTACCCCTGGGCAATGACGGATGGGAAAGTGGAAAGAAGGAAAAGAGGCAACCAGCGACAAGCCTGAAAACGGCCATCATTCGTCAGGAACCGACAAGCCGCCATTCGTCACGTCGGTTTGTTGCACTTTTGCGCCCGCTGACATTGGCCTCTTGGGAAGCGGACCCCGCGTTGCCTCACAGACAGCCCCTCGCTCAGGTCCCGTTCTGGTGCCGGGATCAGCGCAGTGGTCGCATGGTCGGGGTCCCTCGGCGCCCCTCTTTCCTCTCCTCACCATTGTCCGCTTCGAGCCCAGGGGAGCCACTGCACCATTGAGGTCCACGGCCAAGCAGGTCCTTGACTTCGCTAAACCCGAGGAGCTTCTCTTCAAGCTCTCGTCACTGCTCCGTCGTTTTCCACTTTCAATGATATCGTCGATTTGAACAAGCTGCTCGAATCGCCATCATATTGCTTCTCTAAAAATACGCCAACCGTAAACTAGCAATCAATAGCAAGTTGAAGCCAAAGCGCAAGCTCCGGCCCAGTCAGCACTCACATTGCCCGAGTGGCACACATATCCCATCACACACTACTATCCCAGGGGCTTCCGATTCTTCAGTAGTGTACTTGTGCCAAGGACCACCCTACCCTCTGCAAACCTCTTTGATCATCACCACTTTTTTCCTCTTTCTTTCTTTCTTTCCATCGCTGCCTGCCTCCAATACTACATTAGCCGGTTGTCTATTGCCTCGCTCCCGTCTTTCCAATCTACTTCTTACTTTTGTCCCGTATACTCTTCCTCGACATTTCCCAAATACAAAGACGTTGATCGCGCTTGAGCTTACACACCCACGACACCACCTCCAGGCCGTTACCAAACTTGCGCCTAAAGGCCACCCGAACCACCCCTCTCTCCAAACTACGAACCGTCCCCGAAACACCACACAGACACATTCGCCATGGCTGATCTCGTGGGTCGCAAGATCTTCAAGGTCTTCAACCAGGACTTCATTGTCGACGAGCGCTACACCGTCACCAAGGAGCTCGGTCAGGGAGCTTATGGCATTGTCTGGTACGTCCACCTGCTCCTGCTCCCGTTCCTGCTTAGCCGCTTGTGCTTTGGGCCGCGGCGCATCTACATGTGTCATGCCATATTTCCATGATTCAAGCTAACCTCCCTTTCCTCCTAAACAGCGCCGCCGTAAACACCCAGACGAACGAGGGAGTCGCCATCAAAAAGGTCACCAATGTCTTCAGCAAAAAGATCCTGGCCAAGCGCGCCTTGCGCGAGATCAAGCTCCTCCAACACTTCAGGGGCCACCGTAACGTAGGTTGCTCATATACAAAGACTACTATCGATGCATGGTAGCTGACCGTGGCGATTTCTGGTTCTTTAGATTACCTGCCTCTACGATATGGACATTCCCCGGCCAGAGATGTTTAACGAGACCTATCTCTACGAGGGTACGTCATGGCTCAGGCCTCAAGAGAAGATGGGCCAACATACTAACCTGGGGGTCCTTTTACAGAGTTGATGGAGTGCGATCTTGCTGCTATCATTAGGTCCGGTCAGCCACTTACAGACGCCCACTTCCAGTCCTTCATCTACCAAATTCTTTGCGGTCTCAAGTACATTCACTCGGCAAACGTTCTGCACCGTGATCTCAAGCCCGGTAACCTGCTGGTTAATGCCGACTGCGAGCTCAAGATCTGCGACTTTGGTCTTGCGCGTGGTTTCTCCGTCGACCCCGAGGAGAACGCAGGTTACATGACGGAGTACGTTGCCACGAGATGGTATCGTGCTCCTGAAATTATGTTGTCCTTCCAAAACTATACCAAAGCCAGTATGTCTTTCCCTCAAGCTGTCCCCTTGGTATCGTTTTCAGGCTAACACTCATTCCTTAGTTGATGTATGGTCCGTTGGCTGTATCCTTGCCGAGCTCCTCGGTGGCCGCCCATTCTTCAAGGGTAGAGATTACGTCGATCAGCTGAACCAGATCCTGCACATCCTCGGCACACCGAATGAGGAGACCCTCTCCCGTATCGGCTCTCCCAGAGCTCAGGAATACGTCCGCAACCTGCCTCCCATGCCCAAGAAGTCCTTCCAGCAGCTCTTCCCCCAGGCCAACCCCGACGCCCTCGATCTCCTCGACCGCATGCTCGCCTTCGACCCTACCAGCCGTATCAGCGTTGAGGATGCTCTCAAGCACCCCTACCTCGCCATCTGGCACGATGCCAGCGACGAGCCCGACTGCCCTACCCCCTTCAACTTCGACTTTGAGGTTGTTGATGATGTCGGCGAGATGCGCAAGATGATTCTCGATGAAGTCTTCAGGTTCAGGCAGCTTGTGCGCACCGTGCCCGGTGGTCAAGGACAGGGCGGTGCTCAACCCCAGGCTCCCGCTCAGGTGCCCATGCCTACTGATGTGCACAGCCAACAATGGACTGCTGAAGATCCTAGGCCACATGAGTATGGCGCGTACAACGGCGGCCTGGAGGCCGAGCTTGGTGGCATGTAAGCAATGACAGAAGGACGAAAACTTTCTATATACGATAATGAGAACGAAACGCTGGTTCGGCAAGCATCTGATGATCAAACGCATCTTGGATTGATGCCTTGGCTGCAAAGAAACAGCAAAGACGACGGCGTGATGTTTCTCGTTGGAACCCTCTCGAGAAGGGAACGGCGCGCCATTGAGATGGTCTTCAATGACAGAGTGGGACAGCAGTTTTGGTCGGGCTGTCAACAGTCAGCCCTGGGAAGGCGCTTGGAAGAGCAGGCGTCAAAGGCAGACCGGGAGTTCTTTTCGATGTCTGGCCAGATACCAGAGGGTGGTGAGGGGCTCACCGGAGAGACTCTTTCTGTATCTTATTCTATTCTCCTAGTCAGGAGGGAGGACTATGACTAAGTGGAAAGTTGAAGCGATCTTCAGCGAGGACTTTGGAGCGAGATGTTTACGTTGTCATTTATAGTCATAATTCTATTGGATACGCTGAGTGTTGACGCTGCAACAAAGCTCTTGATCGTGGTGGCGTCGTCCAGAAGAGTCCAATGTCACGCAACAAGCCTAATATTTGGAATGGCTTTTACTGATTCTCCTAAGGTATCTATCTCGAGGTATCTAGTCCCAACCCCTTATTTTATGTAACCGTATGTATACTTTTGTGAGCCCAGATTAGTACAAAAAGCCAAAAAGGATGTTTGAACGCCGACGCCATGCAGGGCTTGATATCAAGAAAAAACCATGATACCTAACCGAACCAAACCGAACCAACACATCCGGGATCCTTTACCCTCTCCTTTTTTCCCTTCCGCGTCCTTCCTGCTTTGTGGTATAACACATCCCATCCGTTCTTTACATCTTTCTTATTCCACCCATCCACACAACTCATCCATATCTTTCCTCCCCTTCCCCTTCCAACCACCACCTTCTTCTGATCAAACAGCAGCCTCGAGGGCCTTGTCCGATGCTGGCTCAGCTTCCTAAGCCTCAGCACCACCAATCATCAAACTCTCCACCATACCATTTGTGATAATTGCCATCTGCGCCTTCTCCACCTCCCTGCTCACCTTACCCGTCATCACAGCAAACTGATCCGCCAGCTCCGAGCTGCCGCCCACGTACTCGCTGTAGATATCAAACAGCTGGAACGCCACGTCCACGCACACAGTCGCGTACCGCGGATCGGAGATGTACTTGATGACCCACTTCAACAAAGGCAAAACAGTAACTTCGTCTCTACCTTCCAGGGCTTCGCGGAGGGCAGACCGGTGGCGCAGCGCCACCAACACGGACAGGGCAGTCACAGGCTGGTACTCGGGCGAAGACAAGTCGAGCACGGCATCCAGACAGGCGGCGTACCGGCCCTCGCGAAAGTCGCGCTGCCACGGCTTGAGCTTGACGCGGCGCTTGCGGCCTCCGGCGGAGTTGGTCGCGTCGGTGGGGATGATCACGTCGACGTTTTCGCCGAGCAAGGCCATGGATTTGTTGGAGGCGGCGTTGCGCTTGCGCTTGGCTTTGGCGGAGTCGATCTTGGCGAGCTTGCTGGTGGCGCCAGAGACCATGAGCGCGTCTTCGGCAGCGCGGGCGCGGGCTTTCTCCGCCGTGGCGCCTGACAAACGGGTGCGCAAGGACAAAACGCCGGATTGCATGCCGACTGCTAGGTGGCGGTCTTCGTGCCCTGCGCCAGCGGCGATGACGGAGAGAGAGAGGATGGGCGAGGGGTACTTGGAGCCGGAAACGACGTTCCAGTTGGTGGTTTCAAAGACTTTGACGTGCCCGTCGAGAGAGCCGGAGACGACGCGGCGGCCGTTGGAGGCGAGGCTGAGTGACGTGACGGTCTTTTGGTGGTTGGTAATGAGGCGTAGAGGTTTGGCGGCCACGAGGTCGAGGACGGAGATGGCGGAGCCGGTGGCGGCCAGCAGGGTGGTGCCGCCGGGCAAGGGGAGGACTTCCTCGATGGGGTCGGCGTGCTTGAAGGTCAGCACGGAGCCGGCGGGGGCGCGGGCGTCCCAGACGCGGACGGTCGAGTCGTAGGAGCCGGACACGAGGAGGTTGTTGCGGTCGGGCATGAAGGCGCCGCTGCGGACGTAGTCCTGGTGGCCGGCGAACAGGCGCGAGGGCGCGTTGGAGGGCAGGTCCCACAAGCGGACCGTCTTGTCGTCGGAGCAGGACATGAGCGTCGTCAGCTCGGCGGGCGACCACTTGGTGACCCAGACGGGCTGCTTGTGGACGTGCCAGGTCTTGAGGATGACGGCGCGGGTGCCGGTGCCGACGTCGAAGACCTGCATCTTGCCGGAGTCCTCGCCGGCTACGAGAACGCGGCCGTCGGCGCGGATCTCACCGCTGTGGGCCTGAGAGTCGAAGCGGCCGATGGTCTTGAGCAGCTCGCGCTTGCGGATGGAAAAGATGTCGACGCGGGGACCCGAGGTGACGGCGAAGAGGTCGTTGGTCTTGGCGGCGGTGACGAGTGAGTGCGAGGCGGCCGAGCCGTTGCTGGAGCCGGGGAAGCTGATGTGCGAGATGGGCCATGCTGCCGTCGAGGTGTGTGATTTCTGGTTCTTGAAGGACTTCCAGTAGCGCTGCTCGGCCGTGATGGGGCTGACGACCGTGGGCAACTTGAGCGTCGCCAGCGGCTGCACTTCGGCTGCCATGGTTGCGGATTGGTTATGGGTATGTTCGTTCCGTTTGGTTTGGGTACCTAGTGTTGAAAAGAGGGTACTCGGTTATCGCAATCGGAGGAATTCGACTAGGTCGATCGGAATCGGATTGGGGGAGGCAGGCGTCGAGGTCTTGAGGTGGTGGTGGTGATGATGGTGACTTTGCGGGGCCCAAAGTTCACGAATTGTTGAAATCTCTAAGTGGGAATTTTATTTTTTTGACGGCGATGCGATGCAAAAAGCATTGGTTGGAGCCATCGATTGGAGGCCCCGCCAAGCCGATAAAGTTTACCTACACAGCGACCAGCCCCAGACCAGAAACGCCAAGCTTTCCAGGGTCCATTCGAAAAGTCGTTCTTTGATTGGTACATGTCTGGCTGCCCTGTGCACGGAGCATTCTTCCGCCTGCCAAAGCTGCAATTTTTTGGCAGGGAATGTTTGGTGTTATCTTATCGTGCTGCATCCCCGCCATGATTGTAGGTAGTGTAAGTGTCGCCTGTATTAGATGTCATTGGAGCATTGGCATCGAATGGTAGTGAGTTCAGTTAGTGACTTGTTCCTAACAACAACCTTCGTATTGATGTTGAGTTGTATATTCTATCTAGTGAGATATCTTCATCCATAGAGCCCCTGTGTAAAATAGCCAAACCATAAGTTATGGGTGAAGAAAATATCAATTACAAGTTATCACTTACTGCCATGTACTCTACTCGGTTAACAAGTGCCTGGACAACTCGTATGAAACTGACAACGAACGGTCTGTGCAACACCAACATCACAAGCCGGCTACTCGCAGGTTGCTTTTACTCGTGACTTTGAGATGAAAATAAAATAAAATAGAGAAGAGATGAAAAAAGAAACCAAAAGATCAAACGTCGGAGATCACTCAAACGCGCTGGCTGCTCGCCGCGATGGAGAAAGCAATGTTCATCCGATCACTTCATCAATTTCTTTGGCAGGACTGGGCTGTTTGCAACTCAGTTGCCGAGCGGATGGATTTCTTCAGTCGTGGTTGGTTCTCGTCTTACCTTCTTTTCCCACGTCAACCTAAACTCAACGTTGCTAGGTACTTATGTACCTACGAGATATTGACGGCGACCAAGTGTTCAAGTTGTCAAAGTTACACATTTGCTGTTTTCTATAAGGAGACCGTGGGTATCAACAGACTAACATGACCTAATTACACACTGTGCCATTATCGCAAGATGGTGAGAGGCACTCCCACTTATATTTTTCGAGACTTAAGCCTGGAGGTTTATATCACGGCTGATATGATAGATATACAATAAGCGGACAGAGACGGACAGAGACATTCATATTTTCCAACAGCGTAAAACTATATAAGTACTTCCATCGCGACCTAAGCGTGGCGATTCTTCGCTAAGACGTTGCTCAAACGAGGGAACAACTTCAATGCCGCCTCTGACGCAACAGACTGGACAAACGCCTCGTCTTTTGCGCCGTAGCTGTCCAGTCTTGCGTTCATATCTGCAATAGCGGGCGACGGCGCATAAGGGAAATCGCTACCATACAGCACGTGGTCCGGCTTCGCGAACTCTTTCAATAGCGACAGAGTATGGGAGCCCGTCGACAATGCTGTATCAAAGTAGAACCGCTTGGCGTCCTCCATGAACTGGTTGGTAACTTCAGTCGGGTGGCCCTCCTGTGCTGCTGCTGCAACGGGGGGCGCAATCGAAGGTGGAAGGTACGGCAGTACCGCGGCTGGACGCAGCGCCAGGTAGGGCAAGGTGCCACCGGCGTGAGAGAGGATGATCTTCACGTCGGTGTAGTCACGCATAATGCCCGAGATAATCAGGTCGACGGCGGTACGGGTAGTTTCGTGAGGATAGTCAACCATGGGCTGCGGAAGCGAGGGGTTGACCCAGTGGGTGTCCACGGGGTGCGTTGGGTGAACGAAGACGGTGGCGCGGCGTTGGTTGAGCAGGTCCCAGGTGGAGCGGAAGTCCGGGTGGCCTAGATAATGGTTGTCCGATCCGTAGCGAGTGTACAAGATGATGCCGTCGGCCTGCAACTCATCCAGCGCGTGGATGATCTCTGTATGGGCAGCCTCGGGGTCAAGCAGGGACGGAATAGTAGCGAAAAAGCCGTAGCGGGCTGGCTGGGCCGCACAGATCTCGGCGGCCGCTTGGTTAGCTTGTCGACAAAAGCCAGCCTGCTCGACGTGGGGGAGAATTTCAGCACCGGGAGCAGTGATGGTAAGAAAGGCAAAGGATATGCGTTGCTCGTCATTGAAGGACAGGTCCTTCTCCAGGCTCCAGTCCGGGATGGACCATCCCGAGGGGTCACCACCGTTAGCTCGTAAGGCTATGGCAACGTTAGCACTTCCATGGAAAAGAAAAGAACGGATGCAAACCGCCTTAGACGCACCTTGTGCATAAAACTCCGGGACAAAATGGTGGTGAACGTCAATTCGTTGAGTAGCCATGTTTTCAGGGGCGGGCGCACGTGTTACGCTAGGGCACTGAACAGTCCGAGTTGGAAGGAAAAGAACCAGCAACTGGAGCAGGTTGGCGGTTGAAATTCTGGTCTTCATGTCGACGGGGTATAGTTACATGCCTCTGAGGCTTATATACCAGCGCGGTATCACATATACTTGTCCAGGATGTCGATAGTATGAGGATCTCGGAAAAGTGATGTACTTCGGGAGTGTAGCTCGGAAACGTGATATACTCCAGGATGCAGATTGTATAGGGTTTCAGAAACGTGATATATTCCAGGATGTCGATAGTATAGGGATCTCGGAAAAGTGTATACTCGGAATGCCGATAGTATAGGGATCTAGCGCCATACCCACCTCCCAAACTATTTGTAGATAAAAGAAGAGGAAACTCGTACCTTTAATAATGTATTTCCCACACTCACCTATTTATCCTCAAGCCTAGAGACCCCTCTCAAAAAGTACACCGTGATGCTTTTTTCACAACAGTCTCCTTATCCACCATTGCGTCATGTCCAAGCCGGTTATCGTCATCGTGCCAGGTGCGTGGCACAAGCCCGTCGTTTGGCATGACGTTGTACAACAACTACACACCGCAGGCTTCGAGGCTATCCACGTCGAACTGCGTACCGTTGGTAGCACAACGACGCCCCTCCACGGTCTAACCGACGACGTTACAGCGGTGCAATCTGTGCTCGGCGAGCTTGCCGGCCAGGGCAAGAAAGCCTTGGTGTTGGGTCATTCCGCCGGTGGCCTGATTGGCAGCAACGCGACCAAAGGCCAGGACAATGTCATAGGCATGATCTATATGGCCGCCTTCGTAATCCCTCGCGGCAAGGCTTTGCTCGATTTGCTGGGTGGAAAACCTCTCCCGTGGATGGAATACAAGGCAAGTCGGTCCGCCATTGTGTGTGAGTCTCACGTCAGCTGCAACTATTGCTAACTGATCAAAAGGGCGACCGGGTTTTCGGGCGTCAAGAAATGTTGGCTGACGTTATGTTCAACGACCTCAACGCCGAAGAACAAAAGAAATGGATGACCGAGATGACGCACACGTCAGCCGCGCTTTTCGCAACGCCCAGTGGCTCCGAGCCTTGGAAGAATGGGATACCTTGTGCTTACATCTTTTGTACGGAGGATAATGCGCTACCATTTGTCGTCCAGCAGGAAATGGCGGCGCAGTTAGGACCAGAGGCCAAAGCCGCTACGCTTGAATCAGGCCACTGCCCTTTTCTGAGCATCCCTGAACAGCTGGTAGATGCTATTCAGATGCTCGAAGCGCAAATGCGAGCGACCTATTCATAGACCGCACCGTTTCTAGCCTTCAAGACTCCGCCAGTCTCTCTCTTCTCCTCTCCACTCCACTCCATAGCAATCAATGGATTTCGTTGACGATCCCATACTCTTAGTATAATTTGAAAAAGCGCAGTACAGGCCAGCTTGTCTGTAAGAACATGCTGGCTCAGGCTGAGTGATCACTTTCGTTTCATGGACTTCTTCGCGTCCACCGGCGCCGTTCTTTCGGAGCAATAAAATAATCGCTTGGTGTCCTTGCGCTAACCGCCCATACCAGGAACTAGTCGCAATGAGAGAAAGCTTCCACCGTCGAAACCAGCGGCGCCGACTCCTGTAGCCACTCAGCCACTGTTTGATAGGCACCCGTTGGGACGTGTCCGGGACGATCTTCCCCGTGTTCCCGCTTGCCGGCCCCGTCCACCTACGGGGAGTGGGGAACCTCGTGGCTCAACAATGCTGGTCCGATGCTTGCGGCAGGGGTGCATCCATGCATCCATTTCGCAGGGTTCACCGAGAGGAGCCTCGGCGGCGGCGGGTGATCTAAACTCTATCACAGAGGAAGAGAGCTACCTGCAGCTAGGGCAGTTGTCGAAGAGCTCTTTTGTACATGGGAAGGATGTGGCGCACACCGGCTAGGCCTGCTTCGGGATCGCTGGACTGAGACGAGACAAGCGGGTTCGCAACTAGCATCAGGCGTATTCAACACGGCAACAAGGCCATTTCGGTGTCTTTTGCGTACAACGTCAACTTGTTTACCCCGGAGCTGATTGATATCGAGGCATATCCAGCCTCATGATGGGACGAGGTCGCGCCGACGTGGCTGGTGGGCGGCTGTATGGATGGCTTGGCAGTTGCCCCAAACCTCGTGTGCTTGTGGCGGCACCACAGAACCATATGTACTAGAATCAAGCCGAAATTTGCGATAGACGACGAGATGCACCGTAAAGGCCGAGAATGTCTCGATTGGCGACGCGACGGCAGGCGGGTTAGAAAACGTCAAAGAGCTGGCAAAATGGGCATCGGAGCGCGGGCGACATTGGGGCTAGCGGGCTGTAGGTGAGGGAGCAGGAGACGAGCGAAGCATGGAGATGAAGATGCGAGAGAGGGACTGAGAGAGGGACGTGGGAGAGGAGGGGGAGGTTCTATATACTACTGTAGAACTACTAGTCTATGCTGTCGTGAAGAAGTGTACATTGCCAAGTACTAGGTCTACACTACATCATGATAGGTACCTACGCGGCACAGCCCAGATTGTACATACATAAGTAGGTACCCAGGCCAGCTAGCCTATCAATGCGTGCGTGGACCGTTTGGGTCTCACTGTCTGCTGTGGGCCATTGCTACCCAAATTCCGGGACACCACAGCCGGGAAATACAAAACGTACCTACATAACTTGGAGTCCCATTCTCAAATAAAACCTTCTTCTAGTGAATCCTTATTTTTCTTGACTTTTTCTCGGCATCTACCTGAATCGTCACAGTTTTTCTCTATACTTACTTATTCCTGTATCAGTACTTTCGCTAAATGCCCAATCGACTCTACTAGACTCTTATTCTACCTTACTAGGTAGTCATTGCCCTTTCACCCGTCCGTCCGTCCGAACTTCCCACCAACTATCCGTTTGTTGGTTGTCCAATGTCCCTCCCTGCAGTCGTTGGCAGTGGCCCGTCAAACTGAAGTGATGCCAACTCGACGCTGGCGGACTATCAAGTTGTCATCTTGAGTGGCTGCACCTGCCCTCCATCCGATTCATGTTATACACTCACTACCACTACTTGGCGGGAAAAGCAAAGAGGAAAAAGAATCTGATATCTCAGATTACACTACATTACTCGATTGCTGTTTCCTGCCTTCCATCTCTTCCTCTCTACTTCAAGACGAAAGGAGAAAGGGCACCTCAGTGCGGTCCTTCTTGCTCATCTCATCTCATCGCGTGATTACCAAACAAGTGTTGATGATGAGTTGTTGTTGCCACTCGCTACAACTCAAGATTGCGCCCTCCTCCGATTCCAATCTCGGAGCAAGTGGAAGATATAAACCTCCAGTTCATCCTTCCATCTTCTTTCCATCACCCAATACTACCTCTACCTACCTACCCTCAGTCCCACCCAGCTCGCTACAGTACTTGCCATTCATCTCTGCTGCCCTTCTTCACCTCATGGTATGTTGGCGCTGCTCAGCAACTGGCGCGCGACAACAAAGAAGAAAATACACCCAGATAATCACGACTCTGATTTCTGACTTTGGCCCAAACTAATTCTCAGAATCCCACCAAGCACAAGCCCTCGTCCACGTGGCACCGCCATCGCTTTCGGCGATGCGACTTTGACGAAAAAAACTAAAGCGCGCGCAAATCCTCCTGCATTGATCAGCCGTTTGTTACTTATCTTTACGTACATATCTTGCTTGTTCCCGCTGCCGCAGCAACGATCCCGGTGCAGTGTCCGACCGCCGCTTCACGTGCAGTTGCCGGGGCGAACTCCGAACCGCCATAACCCATGCCGGGACTACCTGTGCGAGCCCCTAACGGGGTTCCCGTAAATAATTCTGCCAACCACAACGACCCTCGCCTCGCATCCTCCATCAGCGCTTTCCTCAACCATCGACAGCCAGCCTGGACCGGCACCGTCGTCGATTTCAGTCCACGGCCTCCGACAGCACAAGGCCCAGCATCGGCGGTACCCCCGGCGGCAGAGTCGGCATCCGGGGAGGTGATGACCCCTCATGCAGGCGCGTCCGCTCCGTTCAGAGGAACAGGCCGTCCACGCGGCCGGCCGCGCAAATACCCAGGCAGACTGCCCCACGTACAACACGCCCACGACGGCACACCCCAACACGAACACGAGAACGGACAAGAAGAGGAGGCGGAAGAAGTACAACAACAGCCAACATACGGTCAAGGGCCACCATCCGCGCAGCCGCAACAGGCCACTCAACGGTAATGTTGAAAACATGCTCCTGTGATTCTCATGTTCCTTTCCCTGCTAACTTTCGATCCCGTGTCTACAGCCCCGGCCGAACTGCCCAGACAGCCGCCGTCCTTCTGTCTCCAGCCCCGAGCGACGAGCCGAGTCCTGCCGTGTCGAACTCGAGAGAAAGTCCTAGCATAAACCACAATGCGCCCGCTCCCTCATATCACCCCGTGATAGCCGCCCGATTTGTACACAGCCTGGACGATGACAATACAGGGTCTACTTTTACAAGAGCAGGAAACAATGGTTCGGCCCCAACAACTCCTGCGGTCCTACCTTCTGCGAGTCCGTTCTTAGCGCATCCTCAGCTCCCGCCACAGTCTACAAATGCTGCAGCATCAATTCCACATTCTCCTGCGCCTCAGAACCAGTCACTGTTGGCCCACGGAGCTCCTCGACGCGATGGCCAAGGCCAGGGCCAGGGTGGACATGTCAACTCGCCACCCTTGCCGCTGGCGCCGCACCCAGGTGAACGAGCGGCCAAGAGGAAGAGGATAGATCCTTCGCAGCCTCTTCCACCCATGACGTACTTGGAGTTCCGACATGTCCTCCAACGGTACACAAATTCGCCGGGTGTGAAGGACCGGATCAAAGCAGGCACCGAGTTTGCTAGATTTTCGCTTCTCGACCAGGCGTGTGTCAAGGAAGACGGCTTCTTCCTGGCCCTCCACCAAATCTACTGCATGTGGTCATCATATGCGCAGAATGCCTACGATATCCTACCCGAGTACCCCCCTCATACTATTGATGAAGGCCTTGGGATTATGGAGGGGCTTCTTAAAAAGAACCTTACCATTCAGCCCATGCATCGACAATTTTTCGAAAACTTTCCAGCGTCTATCAATCAACTATGTGAGCCGCTCACGGCATATAATACTGCTATACGACAAGTAGGCAGGTTCCTGCATTTGATCGGGACTAGTTATGGCACTTTTGTGGCTACGGTGAGCCAGCGTGGGTACCCTTACCTGGTTGATGAGCTCTTGAGCTACTGGGAATGCTACTCGCCCGTCTTGCAATTAATTCTATTTACCGCGTGTCGTAGGAGGATAGGAGTTCCAGACGGCCACGGCTGTGCTCAAGATATCGACCGTGCTTTCATGATCGATCAAAGGAATCATGCTTATCTATACCAGTCAGGCAACTTGAATCCGCAGTTCTACCAAACATGGCGAAACCAACAAGAGCTAGAAGCCCAAAATGCTGAGCTGATTACGTATTATCGCTCACGCGTCCATCAAGTAAGGACCGGTACTGGTGCAGCCGTCAACGGCAACAATTCTATTGGCAACAACAGCAATACGACCCCTCAAAACAGGAGACTGTCAATCCAGACAACGGCCCCGGCAGCCACTGGTCCGCCGATGCCAAACAGTGCACCCCCGAATCAGGCAGCTTTCACATTTAGCAATGCCACAAATCCATACTCTCCGGTTTTTTCGCCTGGTATGGAGGCATTCCACAACGCATATCCTACCCAGAATCTGCCCTCTGCGCAGCATTCTTCACCAAACGTTCACCCGTCCATGGTTACGTCTCGAAGCCCGCAGGACCTGTCAAACCCAGCGGCACAATGGCAGCAGCAACAACTACAGCAACAGCGCCAGCAACGTCCGTTATATCCACAACAAGGTGTACAATATCCGCCACATGCGCCTCAACAGCATGGCCTACAAAGTATGGTGATACCTTCACAGCTGTGGCAGCAAATGCAGCACGAAGGGGCTCTCCGACGACAACAAATACAGCAGCAACAGCAACAGCAACCGCATCAGCATCATCATCAGCTACAGCAGCAACAGCAGCAACAGCAACCAGGGAATCAAAGGCAGCAATGGGTTACGGCTGCGATGACCGCGGCTGCTAACAACGGTGCTTCAGCTGCGCAACTGTACACGGCGAGGGCACAAGCGCAACAACAGCTTCAGCTGCAGACTACAATGCCCCTCCCCGCCCCCATCGCCCCTACTCTCCCTCAACAGATTCAAGCACAGCAGAACCCGCAAACACAGCAGCGACCGCAAAACGTGGTCCCACGCGAACCGGCTCCCGCGCGCACCCCGGATATACCGCTAGTCCCTCCGCTAGGAACAACGATTCATCCGTCAGAGTATGCCTACGAGGCTTCTGATAGGAGGTCCCTGCTGATGGCACTGCATCAAGCTCATGCTCGAAGTCCCAGACGAACCGTAGTAGATGGAGAATCAGAGCGGATGTATCAAGCAGTCAAGGAACTAGTCA